GAAAATCTATGGAGCCGACTAAAGAAATTTGTTAGTCAGAAGCAACCCAGCAATAAAACCCAGTTAACAGAAGCCATCCTTCAATCTTGGTTTCACATTAGAACAGCTGCGGAACTAAAAGACTTGGTTCACTCCATGGGAAGACGTTGTAAAGCTGTAATTCATGCTAAAGGTTACCCAACTAAGTATTCACTGACATGAGGATAATTTTTGTATACTTCATTTTTTCTATGGTGATCATTTTTGTGTATCTCGTTTTTTCTATATGTTTCACTTTTCTTCTTTATACTGTAACTGCTATTCTAATAGCAAATCCTTCCTAAAAGTTATTGCATTACATTCTTGATTAAATTATCTTTCCATTGATATATAACTTTATGGTACTACTCCAAAAAAAAAAAAAAAAAAGTGGTGTTATTAAGCTAGTTTTAGAAAATACACTTTTCCCAAAAGGTTTCCACAATTTTCCCCACTACTGTATATTTTTGGCAAAAGCTACTTTAATAAAGACTCCTGCCAAATGGCGATCAAATCACTCTGGGACACTGCAACTGTCATTAAGTCCATGCCAGTTGCCAAGTGCCCAAATTTTGATAATGTGGATTTGTAGGATGCTGCGATGGTCCTAAGGGCAAGGAGAGGTCGTAAGTCATTTTTTCAGTGCTACTGTCTTTCTTTTTTAATTTTTTTTAATTTTTTAGACAAATAAAACATTTAATAGATCAGTCATTCCTTCCATGCGACATCTCAGTGTTGTCTCCAAAACTTCTTTTTGTTGTTTCTTCTATCTTCATTCTCGCCAAGTCCATTACACAATTCTTCACAATATTCTAATTGTAGCATTTTTATACATAACTATTGATTTACTTATTTGTATCTCTTTTCTAACCAATGGTAAAATTGATTCCATATCTTAAAAAGTATTCTGAATCCTCTCTTTCTTTAATCATCAAAGTTAATCTATTCATTTCTGCACAATCTATTTTTTTTTAATTACTTCTCCTTCCAAAGCAGTATTTTCTCTGCTTTCCAGTTTTGTGCATAAACAATCCTTGCAGCTGTTATTACATGTATAATCAAATAGGTATTTTCTTTACTAATTTTCTCTGGGAGACTACAGTAACTTTCACTAAACGAATGGTTGTAAGTTGAGGACTGCCTTTACAATCTAATTTTGGTCTTCTTATGGATTTGCTATCGGTCCTTTGAGTTCGCCCAGGCAAGAAACACCAAGTGTAAGTACTAACTCCACCTTTATTGTGAGGTTACGGTCACAAAACCTTGTTCAGTCTGAAAACATTGTTCTCCTCCTTTATTTTTATTTATTGATTTGTATCCCATCATCGTCATTATTATTTTTACAAATAACTCAAGGCGGTGAAGATATCCAACCCATCTTCCTACACATATTTTCCACACAACAACAACCCTGTGAGGTGCGTTGGGCTGAGAGGGAGAGACCGGCCTCAAATCACTCAATCAACTTTAATGACTAAGGTGGGACTAGAACTCACTGTCTCCTGGTGATTGTCCCAAAGTCACCCAGCTGTCTATGATGCCTATGGGGGAACTAGAACTCTCCATCTCCTGGTGATTGGCCTGAATTACCTAGTTTTCATGCCAAAGGCGGGACTAGGACTCACCATCCCCCGGTGATTGACCCAAAATCACCCAATTGGCTTTCACGCCTAAGGCGGGACTAGAATTTACCGTCTCCCGTTTTTTGCTTTCCAGAAAACTAGGAAGGGTCCTTTCTGATGCTTCCCCGGTCCTCTTTTTCTTTCTGTGGGTTGGGAACCTTAACCCTTTTTCGTGGCATTCGCCTGGGTCTGCAGCTCTCCCTTCTGTCCCCCCCCAAGGTCATTCTCATTCCCACAGACCACAAGCAGGAATGGGATTCAGCTGGTTCAGGTAAACCGGATGTAAGTGCAGGGCCCACACGGAGGTGAAAAACGGGCCTACCGGAAGTCCCGGAAATCCGGAAATGGCGCCGCGTTTCTTGCCTCCGGAGCCCGGGGGAGGCCGTTTTCACCCTCCCGGAGGCTTGAGGAAAGCCTCCAGACTAGGCCACGCCCCCATGGCCACGCCCCCCCCCCAGCAACCAGGCAGAGAACTGGTTGCTAAAATTTTTCAATCCCACCCCTGACCACGAGAGGTGCTTTCTGGATCTGCACTACCTTAAAGGGCTGTTGTGGGTTCTCAGCCCACAAGACAAGCTTCCAACTGACACAGCTTCCATCTCTTCATTCTGTGTGTCTTTCCCTCCCAGCTCTTTCTTTCCTGGGCTCTTTTGTCTTCCCTCATGCATTATGGAACGCAACAGGTGTTATTGGCAAGGTGCTCCGTTCAAATGAGAGGCGGCCAGGGTCAAAAATGCTGCCCCCCCTCCCCAAATCGGCACAAGCAGCCGAAAGAGATGGTACAACGTGGCCTCCAGCGATCTGGATCTTCGTGGAGAGAATATTAAATATTATCTTATACTGGAATGGGAGCCCAGCAAAACTCCGCCTGCCTCACTGGCTGTTGGCTTTTTGCCTCTCGAGGATCCGGGTTGGCAAACGGCCAGATTATGCAGGAAAATAAAATGTTATTTGTGATGCCTTCATTTTCGATTAAGCCATCCTTATTTTGAAATTTCTATAACGGTTCAGCATAATTACGCTGGAATTTAAACAGTGTATTATTCTCTTGTTTCTGCGAAAGCCGGTTTGGTCTAGTGGCTGAGATGCGGGCCTAGAAACCGGGAGATTATGAATTCTAGTTCTGCCTTGGGTATGAAAGCCAGTTGGGTGACTTTGGGCCAATTACCAGGAGATGGTGAATTCTAGTCCTGCCTTAGGCATGAAAGCCAGTTGGGTGACTATGAGCCAATCACCAGGAGACGGGGAGTTCTAGTCCTGCCTTGGGCATGAAAGCCAGCTGGGTGACAATGGGCCAATTACCAGGAGATGGTGAATTCTAGTCCTGCCTTAGGCATGAAAGCCAGTTGGGTGACTATGAGCCAATCACCAGGAGACGGGGAGTTCTAGTCCTGCCTTGGGCATGAAAGCCAGCTGGGTGACAATGGGCCAATTACCAGGAGATGGTGAGTTCTAGTCCTGCCTTAGGTACGAAAGCTATGCTGGTTCCTCTTTCTGAGCCCAACCCACCTCAGGGAGTTGTTGCCGTGGGGAAAAAGAGGAGGCAGGTAAGTTTAAGATATATAAAACCGGAGAGATAAAAATCTAATAATCATAACAGCAAGAAACACAGCCAGAGGCCATCACGTCAATCAAACGTCAAAGCAAAAGGATTGTCTTCTCAAGAGAAGGAAATTGCTCACCTCCCATGGTTGTTCACAGCTTGAATCCAGAAATCTATCTTGGTGCTGTACGAAAGAGTTTTTTTTTTTTTTAAAAAAAGAGGAAGATAAATTTATTCATTCATTCATTCATTCATTCATTCATTTTCATTCATTCATTCATTCATTCATTCGATTTATATATGCCACCCTTCTCCGGAGACTCAGGGCGGCTTACAATGCGTTAAGCAAGAGCCTTCATACTTTTGTATATACCTGTTTAGTTGGGCTTTCGGCCCCCCCAAGCGGTGTTCTTTTTTTATACAAAGTCAGCTTATTGCCCCCACAATCCGGGTCCTCATTTTACCTACCTCGGAAGGATGGAAGGCTGAGTCAACCTTGAGCCTGGAGAGATTTGAACTTGCAGTAATTGCAGGCAGCTGGTGCTACTTAACAGCACTTTAGTCTGCTGCGCCACCAAGGCTCTTATTTTATTTACTATTTAAATGAAACGCTGAAGTTAACCAGATTCTCCGGTTACGCTAAACGTCATGTTGTACAGGCCAATCTGAGGAACAATTGAGGCCAAAATTTGTGTCGCTAAGTGGAGCAGCTACTCAGTGAGTTTTGCAACGTTCCTTGCCGCAATTTTTAAAGGAATCCTTGCAGTTAAGTTAGTCACATGGCCGTTAAAAGAATCAGGAATCACCCTATTGATCCTGCCCGTCATAAGGTCGTAAGACGGGATGGCGTGACCTCGAGAAACTGCAACCGTCACAAATACATGCCAGTTGCCAAGCGTTTAAATTTTGATCACATGATCACGGGAGAATGCTGCTAAGGTTGTAAGTGTGAAAAGCAATCCTAAATCACTGTTTTCGCTAACTTTGTAACGTCAAGTGGCCACTAAACAAACGGCCGTAAGCTGAGGACTACCTGGAGTGTAGAGAATGCAAATGGGGGTATATGCATAATTTTGTATTTATTTATTTATTTTGTCATGTTTACGTAGGGTACATTGAGAGCGGGACTTCCAACGAAATTTCATTTTAATGTATGCCGATTAGGGTGCATTCAAAGTGACGCTAAAGTTTAATCTTAAATCTTCTAAGCCTCTAAGAACTAAGGGAGAGTCGTTCCGTGTTTTCAAAAATCAGCCCCACGTGAAACGATCCGTTATACAATCCCAGTTTGAATAAAAATACGTAGAACAGGGGTGTCAAACTCAAGGACCGCGAGGTGCTTAGATCTGGCCCGCGCGGCCACCCTGAGCTCTGTTTTTTGCTGGCGGAGGGTTGCAGGCAGAGGAGGGTCTCAGCAGGTTCTGACCAGTTCTGGAGAACCGGTAGCGGAAATTTTGAGTAGTTCGGAGAACCGGTAGTAAACAATTCTGACTGGCCCCGCCCCCATCTATTCTCTGCCTCCCGAGTCCCAGCTGATCGGGAAGAAATGGGGATTTTACAGTATCCTTCCCCTGGAGTGGGGTGGGAATGGGGATTTTGCAATATCCTTCCCCTGGAGTGGGGTGGGAATGGGGATTTTGCAATATCCTTCCCCCAGGAGCGGGGAGGGAACGGGGATTTTACAGTATCCTTCCCCTGGAGTGGGATGGGAATGGGGATTTTACAGTATCCTTCCCCTGGAGGGGGAGAGAATGGGGATTTTGCAGTATCCTTCCCTGGAGTGGGGAGGGAATGGAGATTTTACAGTATCCTTCCCCTGGAGTGGGGAGAGAATGGAGATTTTACAGTATCCTTTCCCTGGAGTGGGGAGGGAATGGAGATTTTACAGTATCCTTCCCCAGCCACGCCCACCAAGCCATGCCACACCCACAGAACCGGTCGTAAAAAAAATTTGAAACCCACCACTGGTTTCAGGAGGCCGTCGTGGATAAAAATGGAATCCGGGAGGGCCACGCGCAGCCTCCCCGAGTTCTGTTTTCGCTGGCAGAGGGCTGCAAGGGGCCTTCGCGGCTCAAAACAGAGCCTCGATGAGTGACGTCGAGCTGGCCACACCCACCCTGGCCATGCCCTGCCCCCCCCGGCCCCCGAGGTCAAACACAACCCTGATGTGGCCCTCAATGAAATTGAGTTGGACACCCCTGGCTTAAAACAACGAAACACACACACACACACACACACACACACACAGAGAGAGAGAGAGAGAGAGAGAGAGAGAGAGAGAGACGTACCGTAGCGGAGTTTTAAAGCATGACAGTTGAAAGGCCTCAAGCATATTGAAAAAGACTTTCTCCGCTACTTCTTTCGCCTGTCAAGAGAAAGGATGGGGTGGGGGAGAAACAATCAAATGCGATCAACCGTATTCTTAATTTTTAAAACAAAGGATAAATAATGCTAGTCCTTGACTTACAACCGTTCCTTTATTGACCGTTCGAAGTTACAACGGCACTGAAAAAAAGTGACCATTTTTCACACAGATGATCGAAATTCAGACGTTTGGCCACCGACTCGTATTTATGACGGTTGCAGTGTCCCGGAGGTCACGCGATTCCCTTTGGCGACCTTCTGACACGCAAAGCAAGAAACCTTGGTGGCGCAGCGGACTAAAAACTGCTGTTATAAGTAGCACTTAGCTGCCAGCTGCCTGCAATGACTGCGAGTTCGAATCTCGCCAGGCTCAAGGTCGACTCAGCCTTCCATCCTTCCGAGGTAGGTAAAATGAGGACCCGGATTGTGGGGGCAATAAGCTGACTTTGTATAAAAAAGAACACCGCTTGGGGGGGGCCGAAAGCCCTACTAAGCAGGTATATACAAAAGTATGAAGGCTATTGCTTAATGCATTGTAAGCCGCTCTGAGTCTCCGGAGAAGGGCGGCATATTAATCGAACCAATAAATAAATTATATATATATATAATATATCTCCATCCATCCTATCTATCTACCCATCCATCCATCCATCCATCCATCCATCCATCCATCCATCTCTATCCATCTATCTATCTGTCTGTCCGTCTGTCCATCCATCCATCCATCCTATTTATCTATCTACCTACCTACCTACCTATCTCATCTCTATCTATCTATCTATCCATCCATCCATCCATCCATCCATCCATCCATCCATCCATCCGTCTAGCTATCTTTCATCTATTTATCTATCTCATCTATTTATCTATCTTTATCAATTTATCTATATCTATATCTATCTATCTATCTATTTATAGATAGCTGCCTGCAATTACTGCGAGTTCGAATCTCACCAGGCTCAAGGTTGACTCAGCCTTCCATCCTTTCGAGGTAGGTAAAATGAGGACCCGGATTGTGGGGGCAATAAGCTGACTTTGTATAAAAAAGAACACCGCTTGGAGGAGGGGGCCAAAAGCCCTACTAAGCAGGTATATACAAAAGTATGAAGGCTATTGCTTAACACATTGTAAGCTGCCCTGAGTCTCCGGAGAAGGGCGGCATATAAATCAAACTAATAAATAAATAAATAAATAAATAAATAAATAAATAAATAAATAAATAAATAAATAAATAAATAAATAAAGTGGGGGAGCCTGATCCGCTTAACAACCCTGTGACTGGGTTAAGAACGGCAGGGATTTACTGAACCACTGTGGCGAGAAAAGTCGCGAAACGGGGGCAGCGCTCGCTGAGCAACTGTCTTTCCTCAGCAATGGAAATTTGGGGCTCAATTGTGGTCGTAAGTCGAGGACTAACTGTACACGCTGAAGACAGAATAGGGCAACCTGTGGCCGTGGTTGGCAACACAGTGTAAAGCTGAACGAGGGAGATCCAGAGATCTTGGCTTCAATGAATAAACACCGTATTTTTCAGAATATAAAATGCACCTTAGTTTTTGGGGAGGAAAATAGAGGGGGGTGGGATTCTGCCTGTATTCATCTGGCTAGTCCAGGGGTCAGCAACCTGCGGCTCTGGAGCCGCATGTGGCTCTTTCACCCCTCTGCTGCGGCTCCGTCACTCAAAATATGCATTACAACCGCCAATGTGCGACACCCACCGACACACGATTTATTGAGCTTTTCAACCCCCGGTAGGCCAACCATGGATAAATCCAAGAAAAGAAAAGTTTCAGAAGAAAACAGAACGTTTAATTCAACTACATATGCTAGCTCAAGAAATAGTCAGGCACAGGAAGGGTTTTGTGGCTCCCGGTGTTTTCTTTTCTGTGGGAAACGGGTCCAAATGGCTCTTTGAGTGTTTAAGGTTGCAGACCTCTGTGCTAGTCCTTAGCCTGGTCAGCTTCACCACATTAGTTCGCTCACTGGTTTTGAGGTTGGGGCTGGTTGGGGCTAAAAAACAGTTTCAAAAGCACAGCTGATCATCGGAGGGAGCAGAAATTAGAAAAACAGGCAAAGCACGGAAGATCGCTTCGCTCGTGTTGGGGCTGAAAAACAGCTTCTAAAGCACAGCTGATCGTCGGAGGGAGCAGCAATTAGAAAAACAGGCAAAGCACGGAAGATCGCTTCGCTCGTGTTGGGGCTGAAAAACAGCTTCAAAAGCACAGCTGATCGTCGGAGGGAGCAGCAATTAGAAAAGCAGGCAAAGCACGAAGATCGCTTCGCTCGTGTTGGGGCTAAAAAACAGCTTCAAAAGCACAGCTGATCGTCGGAGGGAGCAGCAATTAGAAAAGCAGGCAAAGCACGGAAGATCGCTTCGCTCGTGTTGGGGCTAAAAAACAGCTTCAAAAGCACAGCTGATCGTTGGAGGGAGCAGAAATTAGAAAAGCAGGCAAAGCACGGAAGATCACTTCGCTCGTGTTGGGGCTGAAAAACAGCTTCAAAAGCACAGCTGATCCTCGGAGGGAGCTCCAGTGACTAAAGCAGGCAAAGCGCGGAAGGGGTAAGAGAAGGCAGCAGCTGTTCCGGGTAGCCAAACGTCGAGCAATTGGAGGCTGAAAACACAATGCACAGAGCCCAAAAACACAAGCCATTGTCGGTGGCAATCTCTGCAGCCAGGAAAAGGATGGGTGGAGGCCGAAGGGTAGGGGCCGGCAGGTGGGCGGGGCTACATTCGGAGTATAAGACGCACCCAAAGTTTCAGCCTCTTTTTAGGAGGGGGAAAAAGTGCGTCTTATACTCCGAAAAATACGGTAAATTAGATCCAGAATTATAATTTCTTATACACAAGCACACCAGATAAGGGGATGAAAGAGGTTGTATAATTCAGGTAGTCCTTGACTTATGAACACATTTGGGAGAGGGAATTTCTTTTGTTAAACTAGATGGTTGTTAAGCGAATCAGGCCTGATTTTACCACCTTTTTTTTGGCCACGATTGTTAAGTAAATCAGTGCCATCGCTAAGTGAATCATGCCGTTGTTAAGTGCAACTATGCTTGCCAGAAGGTCGCAAAAGGGGATCACATGACCCTGAGACACTGCATTGGTCATAAATACGAGCTAATTGCCAAGCATGTGAAATTTTGAATCACACGACCATGAGAACGCTGAAATGGTCGTTAAGAGTGAAAAACGGTCCTAAGTCACTTTTTTCAGGGGCCGTTGTAACTTCGAACGGTCACTAAGTGATTGGTTGTTAAGTTGAGGAAGGAAGGAAGTACCTTTGTAACGTGCGACGTTTTGGAGAAAATGTCTATACCAGCCAGGACAGCCTCCACCACAGCAAAATAGATCTGAGATAAGAGTTTGCTTAAAAAGAGAAAAAGAAATGCAATATGAATGATGAAGATTCATTAAGATTTTTAACTTCACACAATCCAAAATTCCTTTACACGACAGAGTCACACAATGATAGTTTTTTGTTTTGTTTTTTAAAGAAAAGACCCTGAAGGAAGAACAGATAATCGTTGTCATTTATGGATTTCAAGATTTAGAAAGGGGAAGTTTGTGGAAAGAAGGAAATTGATGTAACTTTGGAGAGGTAAAGTAGATAAAATATAAATATAATTATAATTGCCATCAGAAAGTTTGGAAGCCTTCCCTTCCCTTCCCTTTTTCCCCTACCCTTCCCTTCCCTTCCATTTCCTTTCTTCCCTTCCCATCCCTTTCTTCCTTTCCCTTCCCTTTCTTTTCTTCCCATCTCTTTCTTCCTTTCTTTTCTTCCCATCCTTTCTTCCTTTCCTTTCCTTTCTTTCCTTCACATCCCTTTCTTCCTTTCCCATCTTTCTTTCCTTCACATCCCTTTCTTCCTTTCCCTTCCCTTTCTTTTCTTCCCATCCCTTTCTTCCTTTCCTTTCTTCCCTTTCTTCCCTTCCCATCCCTTTCTTCCCTTCCCATCCCTTTCTTCCTTTCCCATCTTTCTTTCCTTCACATCCCTTTCTTCCTTTCCCTTCCCTTTCTTTTCTTCCCATCCTTTTCTTCCTTTCTTTTCTTCCCATCCTTTCTTCCTTTCCTTTCCTTTCCTTTCCTCCCTTTCTTCCCTTCCCATCCCTTTCTTCCTTTCCCTTCGCTTTCTTCCCTTCCCTTTCTTCCCTTCCCTTCTTTTCCTTTCCTTTCCCCCTTGTTCCTATTTCTATTTTCTTTCTTATTCACTATTCTTTATTCTCGTCATTTCAGTTTCTCATATTTGTAGTCCTTTTTATCTTCAATCAAATTTATATTAAAAAAAAGACCTTGAACACAAGGCAAATCTTGGTAAACTCGGTGCCATTAGTAAAGTAAAAAAAAAAAAGCGAAGAAGCTGATATAAATCAACAAGCTCTATTGGGAAAACTCTGATTTTAGATGTAAATCAAAGCCTCTGGAGTGGGATATTTTAAAAAAAGCATTCAAATTGCAATTGTGTACAGTGTACAATCACAACTGGCATGCATTATGGATTGTTCTGCTCAGCCAGAGGTGCTTAGAAAAGGACCGTGGAATTATTATAAAAGGATATTTTGAAAAAACTTACACTTCTTCTGTTTTCTTTTCCAATCCATCGTCACTTCCTTTTTACACAAATAGAGAAACACAAGTTATTTCGCTCTCTTCCACCCTTAAATTGTTATTTTGCATCTTTTTATATATAATCCTTGAAATGCACTTAAAATTTTTCCGATCCACTTTTAGCATTTTGAACGTGGGATGTAGAGAGTAGTTAGTCCTCGACTTACTTCATTTAGTGACCGTTCCAAAATTGTAGCAGCACTGGAAAAAGTGACTTACGACTGTTTTTTTCACACTTACGACCGTGGCAGCATCCCAGGATCATGCGATTTACATTCGGATGCTTCGCAAGTGACTCATATTTATGACAGTCGCAGTGTCCTAGGGTCACGTGATCCCCTTTTGCGACCTCCGGACAAGCCAAGCCAATGGGAAAACCAGATCCACTTAAGGACCGTGTTACTACCTGAACAGCGGCAGTGATTCCCTTAACGGCTGTGGCAAGAAAGGTCGTAAAATGGGGCAAAGCTCAGGTAACATGTGTCTCACTTAGCGACATCAATGTTGGGCTCAATTGAGGTTGTAAGTCAAGGACTTCCTTTTTAGCATTTTGAAATTGGGATTTTTCACGCTGAGCTTTGAGGAGAGGTTTATTAGCTGCTTCTAGAGGCATCTGGAAGGAAGGGGGCGGGGGGGTCAAGGAAGACAAGAGGGGGTTGCTGTCAGTTCTCCTGGTTTGCATTTTGCCCGACAGTGCTGTGACAGGGTGGGCATTTTTGAAGGACTGCCTAGTATGGCGATCATTCAGGAAACAGGCAGGGGAGAAATCCTGGATCAGCGGCTGGACTTACCGAGGTAAGGAGTGTGAGTGGCGCCGAAGAAATAGGTCCTGGAACAAGCCAGGGGTCCCTTGGGGGAGACACACTGCACCACCTGTTGTTGGTAAACACAAAATGGACTGGTCAACTAGGGCCTCCACGTCCATCCGTCCATCCATCCAGCCATCCAGCCATCCATCCATCCATCCATCCATCCTCTTGCTAATCTATCTTATCTATCTATCCATCCACCCACCCATCCAACCATCTACTCATCCATCCATCCATCCACCCATCTATCGATCGATCGATCGATTATCCATCTAATCTTTATATATCATCTTGTCTATTATCTATCTATCTACTCATCCATCCACCCATCTACCCATCTACCTATGTACCTATCTACCTACCTATCTTCCATCCAATCTATATATCGTCCATTTATCCATTAATCCATCCATCTACTCATCCATCCATCCATCTACTCATCCATCCACTCATCCATCCATCCACCCACCCACCCATCCATCTTCCATCTAATCTATATATCACTTATCTTATCTATGTACACATCCATCCATCCATCCACTCATCCATCCATCTATTCATCCATCCACCCATCTATCTCTATCTATTGATCGATCCATCTAATCTATATATCGTCTATCTTGTCTATCTATCTACTCATCCATCCATCCATCCATCTACTCATCCATCCATCCATCCATCCATCCATCTACTCATCCATCCATCTATCTATCCATCCATCCATCTTCCATCTAATCTATATATTGTTTATCTTATCTAACTACTCATCCACCCATCCATCTACTCATCAATCCATCCATCCACTCATCCATCCACCCATCCATCTACTCATCCATCTATCTACTCATCCATCCATTCATCCATCCATCCATCCATTTTCCACATCTATCTATTTTCCACATTTATTATTTTTACAAAGAACACAAGCCGGAAAACAGATATAACCCATCTTCCTGCTCCTAGTTTCCCCACGCAGGAATGACTCCTATTCCTCTGTTGGCGAAGCTTGACAGCTTGAAGATGAGTGAACTTCAACTCCCAGAATTCCCCAGGCAGCAAGGCACAGTGCCTTGACCCCAGCGCATCTGAAACTTCCATGCCAGGGGCTTACCATGTGTTTGGCGATGCTGCCAGCCAGGCCCGTATTGCGAAGCAGGTGCCCTTCCGAGGGGAAGCTGAAATTGCCCGAATTCAGGTTTTCTCTGGACGAGTGGGTGCCAAAAAGTGCAAACGGCTGCCTGCTGGGGCTGATCACACACAAAGAGCAAATTTATTTATTTATTTATTATATTTCTATACCGCCTTTCTCCCGTAGGACTCAAGACGGTGTACAGTCAAGAAAAATATAGACACACAAACATCATAAAATTGCTAATTAAAATTGTTACTTAGTTTGGTCAATTAAATAAAACCCAGAATTAGATCACATTTAAAAAATCATTCACATGTTCGTATGTTTAGCCTTGCCTGTTGGAACATCAGGGTCTTGAGGGCACGGCGGAAAGCACGGAGATCAGGGATATTCCGTATCTCCGGGGGCAGTTCATTCCAAAGGGTTGGAGCCCCCACAGAGAAGGCCCTCCCCCTGGGAGTCTCCAGTCGACATCATTTGACTGACGGTACCCTGAGTAGTCCCTCCCTGTGAGAACGAACTGGTCGGTGGGAGGCTATTGGTGGCAAAAGACGGTCTCGTAGGTACCCAGGTCCTAAGCCATGGAGCGCTTTAAAGGTGATAACTAACACACTTAATGACACACTTCCCTTCTATTGGAAGTCAAAGCACTAAGAAACAGGCCACGTTTCAAAACGGGTAAAGAAAAAAGAGATTTAAAAGGGCAATACTGCAGCAGGAGAAATTGGGAGGAGTTGGATAACACCTTTTTCCGAGTAGCAATGTTTTAAATTTTTATTTTATTAAAAGTCCCACATTTTCTTGGGTTGCTGTTTATGTCAACAGAAGGGGACAGAGGCGATAAGAGAACTGAACTGCTTCTCCATCGCTCCATCCCCTCTGCCTTTCCGTTGGAATAAGCAGCAACCCAAGAAAATTTGGGACTTTTAATAAAAAATTGCTGTTCGGAAAAGGTGATCTCTGGTGAACATGGGGGAATTATGGGCTATACATCCATGGACAACATCTGCAGGCCTTGAAAAAGATGCAGCGGCTTTAATGATCTTAAGAGATGTGGCTGCTTTAATGATCAGCGAAACCAAACTTTGCTGGCTGCAATACAAGTAGTCCTCGATTTACAACCACAATTGAGTCCAAAATTTCCATTGGTATTAGTTAAGTGAGTTTTGCCCCATTTCACGACATTTCTTACCACCGCTGTTAAGTGAATCACTGCAGTTGATAAGTTAGTAACTCGGTTGTTAAGAGAACCTGGTTTCTCCCATGGGCTTTGGTCACCAGAAGGTAGCAAAAGGGAATCACATGACCCCCCTCGGGACACTGCAACCTGTTGTAGTCCGCCAGCAGCCCACGGAGCTAGTAGCGGAGTCGGAGAGTGAGGAAGCTGGGGAGGAACATAGGCCAGTCCTGGAGACAGGGAAATGCCCGGACGAGGGCTCTGCGTCAGAGGCAGAGATGGGGCCAGGGCCATCTGGGAGCAATGCGCGGACTCCGGAGCCTCCAGAGTCGGACATCAGAAAGGCAGAGGAATAGGAGGAGCCTGTTCCTAGTGCGCGCATGCTCAGAGCTGCCAGAAGACAAGGACAGTTAAAACAAAAGGGACGACTCGGGAGTAAGGCCAGGAGATGATTGGTCCCTCCCATAAGACTTAAAAGAAGAGCAAAGGCTCTTGGGCTCTTGGTAGGAAAGCAACGTTGCTAAATCTGTTTCCAGTCGGCATCTCTCATTTCTGAACTTCATGGGGCTTTGCCAAGAAAGGCCTTTGGCAGGGTGCCAAAGAAGATAAACTTTTGTGATAAGCCCGAAGGACTTTTTCTGAAGGACTTGTTTTGGAATTAATTTGGACTAAGCTGGGAATGAAATAATTCCCAGCTGTTATAATAAAATAGGTTTGTTTAAGACTAATTGTGTCTTGTAATGACTAAGTGAGCCTGGGTCACAACACAACCGTCATAAAGGTGAGTGAGTTGCCAACTGTCTGAATTTTGATCACGTGACCCTGGGGACGCTGCAGTGGGTCGTGAGTGTGCAAAAGGGTCATAAGTCACTTTTTTCACTGATGTGAAAGTTTAGAGGAGCGTTTTTCAACCTTGGTAGCGCTGGCTGGGGGATTCTGGGAGTTGAAGTCCACCCATCTTCAAGCTACCAAGGTTGAGAAACACTGGTTTAGTGACTTCAAACGGTCACTGAGTGAACTGTTGTTAAGTCGAGAACTACCTGTATTATGAGGTCACTATTCGGAGTGAATAAGCAGGAAGCCAACGGAAGCATTTTTAACACACAGCAAGCATATTCAGTGGTTTTTCTCAGGGAACAGAAATTCTGATTTAAGTACAGAAAAACACTCACCCCAGGTTTAATTCCCCAAGCCTTCCCATAAAAAGGATTGGCTAAGAAGTGATGCAAAGACCCCCCACTTTTGTGCCAAAGACCCCCCCGAAAAGCTGCAATCAGACAAAATAATAACCAATCTCCCCTCCTGCTTATACATCAATTTCCAAGGTAACATCTGGATTGCCAATTCTGAAACGTTGCCGGATAGGAAGGTAGAAGTTTATCCTTGAGGATACATGATGAGATTTCGAAATGATGGCCATAAATCTGACATTTTATAGTATTTTTCCTTCAGCTATTTGATGGAGGAGGAAGAAGAAGGTTTTCAAAGGCTCGAGGTGCAAACATCCCCTCTGAAGTTATAGCTCTCTTTTTTATTATTATTATTATTAGAGGACAAAACAGAAATTTTATTTGTGTGTTGATGTGACCCCTGCACAGCAAGGAAGTTACGGAAAGAAGGAATTACCTGTTATCTGTTATATGGCTTGAAATCAGACCGTGGCTGAAGTAACTTCGGAATGGCTGCAGAGGAAAAAAAAAACATTATCATTAAAATAAATAGGGAAGTGAAATAATCTCTACGCTGCCGTTAAAAAACATTTTGCCAAAGATGGATGAGGATAGTGCTGCTCTATAAACTATTACGGATAATATGTTTAAATATATCAGGATAAAGAATGAATTATTAAATATTAAAAGAGAATATATGATTAAAAATGGAGAAAATAGAGTTTGAGGACGAAAGAAGGATACTGTTTATAGAAATAAGAATAGAAATATTAAGAAAAAAGAATAGAAATATTAAGATTTGATTAAAAAATATGGAAAAAGAACACTTTGGCAGAAATTGTAATTGAGTAAAATATATTTGGATATGATAAATTGTATATATGATATGATATGGTCTGTTTCATAAAATATGTGGTGTGTGTTAGCGGGGGGAAAAAACCAATAAAACCTGATTTAAAAAAATACAAACTATTACAGATTACGGACATACAGGTATAGTCCTTAAGTTACAATGGTTCATTTAGTGACCATTTGAAGTTGCATCACTAAAAAAAGTTGACTTGTGACCGGTTTTCAGATTTAGGACCGCTGCAGCATCCTCATGATCCCGTGAGCAAAATCTGGACGTTTCGCTACTGGTTCGTATTTATGACGGTCGCAGTGCCCCTTTTTGCGACGTTCTGACAAGCAAAGTCAAGGGGGGGGGGGAAGTCAGATTCGCTTAACAATTGTGTTAGTAACTTAATGGCTGCAGGGATTCGCTTAGTAACGGTAACAAGAAGGGTCGTAAAGTGGGGGTATAACTCATTTAACTACTGTCTTGGTTAGAAACTCAAATTTGGGGCTCGATTGTGGTCGTAAGTCGAGGACTACCTACAGAGGGATGCCAGCTAGTTCTGCAAATTGTGAGCCCTAGCCAAGCCTAACATCTTGTTGTCAAGAGCTGTCAGGCAGAAAGCTTTCTGGCGTCTTCACGACATTCGTGATGGCGCAGTGGTAAAAGTGAAGTGAAGCTATTGGAGGCTGACTCACTGCTCAGTCCAGCGGTTCAAGTCTCATCGGCTCAAGGCTAACTCAGCCTTACGTCCTTCTGAGGTCAGTAAAATGAGGACCCAGATTGTTGGGGGCAGGAGGCCGACTCTGTAAACCACTTAAGAGAGGGCTGTGAAGCATTGTGAAGCGGTGTATAACTCTAAGTGCTTATTCTATTCTATTCCATTCCATTCCATTCCATTCCATTCCATTCCATTCCATTCCTTCTATTCTATTCTATTCTATTCTATTCTATTCTATTCTATTCTATTCTATTCTATTCTATTCTATTCTATTTATTCTATTCCATTCCATTCCATTCCATATTTTATATTCTATTCTATTCTATTCTATTCTATTCTATTCTATTCTATTCTATTCTATTCTATTATTCTATTCTATTCTATTCCATTCCATTCCATTCCATTCCATTCCATTCCATTCCATTCCATTCCATTCCATTCCATTCCATTCCATATTTTATATTCTATTCTATTCTATTCTATTCTATTCTATTCTACTCTATTCTATTCAGAATCCTATTCTATTCTATTCTACTATTTCTATTCAATTCCATATTTTCCATTCCATTCCAGTCCATTCCAGTCTATTCTATTCTTCTATTCTATTCCATTCCATTCCATTCCTTCCATATTTTCTATTCTATTCTATTCTATTCAGAATCCTATTCTATTCTAGTCTACTCCTATTTCTATTCAATTCCATATTTTCTATTCTATTCTATTCCATTCCATTCCATATTCTATTCCATTCCATTCCATTCCATTCTACTCCTATTTCTGTTCCATTCCATATTTTCTATTCTATCCTATCCTATCCTATCCTATCCTATCCTATCCTATCCTATCCTATCCTATCCTATCCTATCCTATCCTATCCTATCCCATTCCATTCCTTCCATATTTTCTATTCTATTCTATTCTACTCTATTCTATTCTATTCAGAATCCTATTCTATTCTATTCTACTCCTATTTTTATTCCATTCCATTCCATTCCATTCCGGATTCTATTCCGGATTCTGTTCTGTTCTGTATTCTGTTCTATTCTATTATTCTGTTCTGTGTCCTATCCTATCCTATCCATTCCTGTTCTGCATTGTGTTCTGTTCTCTTCTATTCTGCGTTCTGTTCTGTTTGGTTCGGTTGCCATGGTGGCACAGTGACTGGAATGCAGTATCGCAGGCTAATTCTGCCGACTGCTAGCAGTTCGATCCTGACTGACTCGAGGTGGGCTCGGCCTTCCACCCTTCTGAGGCTGGTAAACTGAGGACCCAGATTGTTGAGGACACATAGGCTGACTGTAGATGCCCGCTTAGAGAGGGCTGTAAAGCCCTGTGAAATGATATATAAGCCTTGTGGCTATTGCTATTCATACTGTTGTCAAAACGCTGGAATTCCCCGCGCCTCCAGCCACGTGCCCTGCCTGTTTCCATTGGGTGCCATCCAAATCGCCTTCAGCCAGCAAGATCGATGCCTTTTTTGTTCTTGAAGAGAAAGGATGTTTACTATTTGGCAGGAAATTAGCCTGAAAAAGTCCCATTTCAAGGACTCAAAACGCACAACGGGCTTCACGTTGCAAACGGAGGAGCTGTGTGGCAAAAAAAAAAAATCACCGACAGTCCTCGACTTACGACTGCTATCGAGCCCCAAATTTCCGTTGTTAAGGGAGGGTTTTTTTCTCATTTTATGACCTTTCTGGCACAGAAAGTGTTAAATGAATAGCTGCAGTTGTTGTTAATAATGGGGTTGTTAAGCAAACCTGGCTTCCCTATAATGATTTAAGTGTTATATTTGCAAGAAGTAAAGAAGAAAAAAACATATTGTTCAAAGCAAAGAAGAGAAAGGATTGGAAGATTGTTTGGGTAAAAATTTAAAGGGAAAAAAATGGAAAAAGATGAAATGTATTGTTTATAATTAAAAAGATAAGAGGAATTTTGTGAAATATACTTGATAAATGAAAAAAAATATACTAAGTTGAATATCTTTAATAAATGAGAAAGATCGGGGTTGCCTGGACAACGTAGTGGGAAATATTAAATTGAAAATGAATACAGCAATAGAGAGAGATGAAAGAGGAGTAGAGAGTAGAGAGATGGAAGAGAAGGGGAGAAGAGAGACAGATGGAAGCAGTGGTGGGTTCCTCCCGGTCCGGTCCGGTTCGGCCGAGCCGGTAGCGGTGACGATATGACATCACCGAACCGGTTCTCCCCCCTCCGCCTTCCCACCCCCCCCACGTTATTCTTACCTTTTATTTGGTCCCACCCCCAATCTATTGCTGCCTCCTGAGTCCCAGCTGATGACTAGAAGGAAGAAAACTGTTTAAACTCTTGTCGCGGGGCTTCAAAGGGCCGTCCTACAGCTGATCAGTGTTAAAAGCAAACAAATGAGTCGGGTCGTAAGTGCGAGGACTGGTCGTAAGTGCGAGGACCTTCCAGAAATGACTCTGACCAGCTAGCCACGCCCACCTAGTCACATGACCTCCAAGCCACACCCACAAAATAAGCCACGCCCACAGAACCGGTAGTAAAAAAAATTAGAACCCACCCCTGGATGGAAGAGAGGAGAGGAAGGAAGAGAGGGGAAATTAGAGTAGAGAGTAGAGAGATGGAAGAGAAGGAGAGAAGAGAGAGGGATGGAAGAGAGGGGAGGAAGGAAGAGAGGGGAAATTAGAGTAGAGAGTAGAGAGATGGAAGAGAAGGAGAGAAGAGAGAGGGATGGAAGAGAGGAAAGGAAGGAAGAGAGGGGAAATTAGAGTAGAGAGTAGAGAGATGGAAGAGAAGGGGAAGAAGAGAGAGGGATGGAAGAGAGGGGAGGAAGGAAGAGAGGGGAAATTAGAGGAGGAGAGAGGGTTAGACAGGGAGGAAGAAAGGAGTAGAAGGAGAAAGGAAGGGGAAGTAGAGAGGAGTAGGAGAGGAGGGGAAAAAAGTAAGAAGGAAAGAAGAGAGGGAAATGGCAGGATTGAGAAGAAAGATTGTTATTACTGGTTCTGTGGGCGTGGCTTGGTGGGGTGGGCGGTAATGTGACTGGATGGGCGTGGAACTTTTTTTTTTTTTAACTTTTAAAAGCATTTTTTCTACAACCTCTTTGCCTGAAGAGGTTGTAGAAAAAAATGCTTTTAAAAGTTAAAAAAAAAACAGCCTCTGATGATCGCGCGGCATGGGAGGGGGGGCAGGGATTTTTGCTACCGGTTCCCCGAACCACCTGCCACCATCGCTACCGGATCGGGCGATCCGGTCCAAACCGGGAGCATTTCACCCCTGGATCATATGACCCTGGGACACTGCAACCGTTATAAACTGCCATCTGATCACGTGACCATGAGGATGCTGTAACGGTCATAAGTGTGAAAAACGGTCATAAGTCACTTTTCTTTTAGTGCTGTTGTAATTTCAGACGGCCATTAAAAAAATGGTTGCAAGTCAAGGACTACCTGTAACCAGTTACGTAAAATTTAAGTTTCTCTATCCCCTCTGAAATTCGGTCCATATACCTCTCCTGTCTGAGATTCTGAGAGTTCCAGCATGAAAGGGATTTCAGTGTCAAAATTGGCAAAGAAGTTGGTCCATTGATGTTCAAAAGTCATCAACTCCTGGAAGAGAGAGAAAACAGGCTTGAATTCCGCGAGCCGACGCTACTGAAGCCTCCCGCCCCTCAAAAGATGGTGAGAAAAGAAGTCAAACATTTGCATTTACGGAGCTGGGAAGAGCGAGGATAACAGAGGTGGGTTTCAGCAGGTTCTGACCAGTTCTGGAGAACCAGTAGCGGAAATTTTGAGTAATTTGGAGAACCGGTAGTAAAAATTCTGACTGGTCCCGTCCCCATCTATTCTCTGCCTCCCGAGTCCCAGCTGATCGGGAGGAAATGGGGATTTTGCAGTATCCTTCCCCTGGACTTGGGAGGCAGAGAATAGATGGGGGCAGGGTCAGTCAGAGGTGGTATTTACCGGTTCTCTGAACAACTCAAAATTTCCGCTACCGGTTCTCCAGAACTGGTCAGAACCTGCTGAAACCCACCTCTGCTTCAGAGCAGAAATAACTACACTAAGGTCTACTTTTAAAATTACAAACAGCTGGTTGAAAGAAAAGAGTTGTCTGAATAATTCAAGCAACGGCCACTAGATGTCAGCAGAGGCCCACGTTTCGACTCTACCCATTTCCTCGAAGAAAACCTTCCACAATATTAAAAGCTAGAATAAAAAAAGCTTAACAGCCTCTTGGAATCCAAACAAAAGCCCAGGTGAGCCCATAGCAAACCCAAAACCAAAAATGAAAGAAGACACAACATGGCACGTCATGGAGATCTGAGCACTGCTCACACACTGAACTTGAAAAGGTGTGCAGCGTATTTGGGGGGAAACCCCCCCCCCCTTAATATGGGTAGTCTTTGACTTGCCAAAATTTGAGCCAAAAGTTCCATCGCAAAGCAAGACAGTTCAGTGAGCTTTGCCCCATTTTATGACCTTTCTTGCCACGTTGTTAACTGAGTTAACATGGTGGTTAAATGAATTTGGCTTCCCCATTGGCTTTGCTAGTCACAAGGTCCCAAAAGGGGGATCGCCATGACCCCGGGATGCAGCAACGGTCATAAATATGAGCCAGTGGCTCACATTTTGATCATGTGACCATGGAGATGCTGCAACGGTCGTAAGAGTGAAAAACAGTCATAAGTCACTTTTTTTCAGTGCTGTTATAACTTCGAAGGGTCACTAAATGAATGGTTTGTAAATCAAGGATTATCTTTGTGCTTTTTATGTTATGCTTTTAAATCGGTTTGCATGAGCTAACGGTAAAGCTTAAAATCCCTTTATTTACTGGAGTGTTACTGGATCCAAAAGAACCAACTGCTGGGCACCTGATCACTGCCCCTGCCTCCTTGGCAGAACAACCCACAAACATCATCATCGTCTTCTTTTAACGACCCCATAATCCCTTGCGAGGTGGAGTCTGGGCAACCGAATGGAGCTGAGTGTTTACTGGCCAGATGCCTTTCCTGTCGCCAATGAGGAGTTTTGTTCATCAGATATATATTCTCAGTGTGCCCAGAGAGTGAAATATCTGCCTCTACCAAGGATCGAACTCACAGCCTCCTGATTGTGAGGCTAGAGCTCCACCTCTAGGCCACTGCACCATTCCAACCAGCCCTGAACATGCCCCAAACATTCTGGACACGAACGTGCGAATGACCCGCTCTCTGTGCTTCCCAAACAGGGTCCATCTCGGAAGCCATTTTAGAATGGAGAACCACCTCTCTGCAGCTTTTCCTCCTCCTCAGTCCACGGAACCACTCCGTGGATCTGTGGTTCTTTTTTTTTTTTAAATGACCCACAAGAAAAAGACTATAGACACATTACCTCGTCAAGTAAGCTCTCCAAAGAAATGGGATCCACTTTACTGTAGGCCTTCCAGAGATCCAGACTGACGTCCATCAGCTGCGAAGAGAAAGATCGGGTCGGAGGTGGCCTCTAGAGCAGGGGTTTCAAACTCAAGGCCGTGGGCCAGATCCGGCCTGCAGGGTAGCTTTGATCTGTCCGCGGGCCCGGACTGGAAATAGCAAAGGACCAGCCTGCGGTGCCCTCTGCCAGCAAAAATGGAGCTCAGGAGGGCCGCGCACACGACCACCCCGAGCTCCGTTTTCGCCGGCAGAGGGCTATCAAAACACACACAAAACAAAAGGAGAAACGTTTCCCCTTCTGCATTTGAGCATGCAAGAAGGGGCAGGGAAGGAGAAAGGGAAAGAGGAAAGAGAAAGAAAAAGAAGGGAAGAGGGGAAGAGAGCAAGGAAGGAAAAAAGAAGGGAAGAAGGAAGAAGGAAGGAGAATGGAGAGGGAAGGAAAAAGAAGAAAAAGGAAGGAAGGCGGAAGGAAGGAAGGAAAGAAGGAATGGGGAAGGAAGGAAGGAAGGAAGGCGGAAGGAAGGAAGGAAAGAAGGAAGGAAGGGAGGAAGGAAGGAAGGAAGGGAGGAAGGAAGGAAAGAAGGAAAGAAGGAAAGAAGGAAAGAAGGAAGGAAGGAAAGAAGGAAGGAAGGAAGGAAGGAAAGAAGGAAGGAAGGAAGGAAAGAAGGAAGGAATGGAGGAAGGAAAGAAGGAAAGAAGGAAGGAAGGAAAGAAGGAAGGAAGGAAGGAATGGAGGAAGGAAGGAAGGAAGGAAAGAATGGAGGAAGGAAGGAAAGAAGGAAAGAAGGAAGGAAGGAAGGAAAGAAGGAAGGAAAGAAGGAAGGAAGGAAAGAAGGAATGGAGGAAGGAAGGAAAGAAGGAAAGAGGAGGAAGGAAGGAAGGAAGGAAAGCAGGAAGGAAAGCAGGAAGGAAGGAAGGAAAGAAGGAAGGAACGGAGGAAGGAAGGAAAGAAGGAAAGAAGGAAGAAAGGAAGGAAGGAAGGAAGGAAGGAAGGAAGGAAGGAAGGAAGGAAGGAAGGAAGGAAGGAAGGTTATAATGAGAGTGAGGGAAAATTCTCAGGGAAGTCCTGCCTTAGCACTTGGCCACCACAGGTGCCCCCGATACGACAGATGTCGAGCTGGCCATGCCCACACCAGACATGCTCACCCACCCCGGCCACTAATTGTCAGGAAATAACAGAATCATGGTCTTGGAAGGGACCTTGGAGGTCTTCTAGTCCAACCCCCTGCTCAGGCAAGGAAGCCCTATAACAGTGATGGGTAGCCTTTCCCAAACTGAGTGCCCAAAGCGCACATGTGTGCCCAAACACCCAAAATGCAATGCGTGCGCAGCCCCCATCCATGCCTTACCCCTCATACATGTGCATGCAGCCCCCACACACGCGTGACCCCAGTACATGCATGTGCCCCCACACACACACACACCTTGCCTCCCGCAAGAGACCCAAAGACCAGCTGGCTGGCAGGAGGCGAGCGCACATGCGCAGCAGAGCTAAACTCGGGCGACGGCTCGCGTGCCACCAGAGAGGGCCCTGTGCGCCACCTCTGTCACGCGTGCCATCACAGCCCTACACCATGTGAAACAAATGGCTGTCTAATCTCTTCTTCAAAACCTCCGGTGATGGGGCACCCACAACTTCTGGAGGGCAAGCCGTTCCACGGATTAATTGTTCTCAACGTCACAACCAGAAGTACCCTTTGCAGCTGTGGTGGGCTGAGCGAGGGGGGCTCCGTCTAGCTTTAATTCCCTCCGCCCCAACGCATTTAAGCCACAGCTACGACTAACAAGCAGGCTATTATAGCTGGAGAACGGTACCGTGGGCACAGGGCCACCATTGTCCTACCAGAAGGGCCATTCCGCCCCCCCCACAGCTGGGCAGGCCAGTGAAAGACCCCACCCCACGGCTGTTCCCAGCTGAAACGATCCTATATAGAAGAATCCCTTGGAGTCATTTAGGAAAAAAAAATGAGGTTGCATCGCAATTCTCGTGCCAGCCGGCCCTCTCGCCATGAGCACCCCGAAGGATGAAGGGCAGGGAGGCTCTTGGCCCGGGTGGGGGTGGGGGGTTACCTCAGGAACCTGCTTCCATCGACGCTTCGCGGGGATGAGTGTTGCGAGCCCCTCATGGGCACCGAACAGTGGTGGGATTCAAATAAATTGACAACCGGTTCTCTGCCCTAATGACCAGCTGGGTGGGCGTGGCCAGGGTGGGCGTGGCCAGGGGTGGGCTGCTGGCGGTTCGCAGGGGTTCGAGAGAACCTCTAGCTAAGATTCTGTGCGGTTCAGAGAACCCCCCAAATCCCAGTCCTGGCTGGCCCTGCCCACACCGCCCCTCCCAGGAGTCCCCACGCGGCCTGTTTTGGATGCAGGTAAGTGCACAGCGCGCGCGGAGGCTCAAGGACGGCGAAAAATGAGCCTACTGGAAGTTCGGTAAGGCTGGAAACAGGCCAGTTTCCAGCCTCCAGAGGGCCTCTGGAGCCTGGGGAGGCGGTTTTTGCCCTCCCGGAGGCTCAAGAAAAGCCTCCGGAGTCCGGGGAGGGCAAAAAAGCCCCACCACCACCGTGGTGCAGAATGCCGACTAGGCCACACCCATCATGGCCACGCCCACTGAGCAACCAGGCAGAGAACCCCTTGCTAACATTTTTGAAGCCCACTCTTGGGTGTGACAAGCAGCCCTCGGCCTCCTGCATCCCCTTCTGGGAGCAAAAACGGGCTGTGGAGGGCCCGTTTTCCACCTCCCCGGGCTCCGGAGGCTCTCTGGAGGCAGGAAATAGGCCCATTTTTGCCCTCAATGAGCCTCTGGGAGGCTTGTTTTCCACCTGCCTGGGCTCCACGTGCCCCCTGTACTTACCTGGGATCCAAAATGAGCCACATTGGGACTCCTGGGAAGGGTGGGGCGTGGCCAGCCAGTCATCGCAACTACCGGTTTGCCGAACCGGATGTAAAATTAACATCCAGTTTGCCCGAAGCACTCCGAACCGGCTGAATCCCACCTCTGGCGCCAACAAAGCAACCAGAGTAGCCATTTTGATTCCTCCCCCCCAAAAAAACACACAGAGGATGCCCATGAGATGAAAGCTTTCCCAATGCAAAGGGCGTTTGTTGGGGTGCTGGAAAGTGGGGTGCCTAATTCTCACCCCATCCCTTTGACCGGCTTCCTGGAAGCACCCTGGGGCGGGAAAAAGTGGTCTAAGCCCATCCGGCCCATCCCTTCTTACCTCGTATTTCATGGTGAAGAAGCCGTCCCCGCCGATGCCTTCCAGGGCAAAAGCTTGCACGATAGGCCATTTTTCCACCACAAACATGTCGAAGATCTGCAGGTGGCCTGCAAGACACCAAACACAATTTTTTGGGGGGGGGGCATTTTTGCAAGTGTTTCCTCCACTTACAACCATTCGTTTAGTGACAGATCGAAGTTAAAATGGTTCCGATGGATCTTGACAGACTGGAACACTGGGCCCTTATCTAACAAAATGAAATTCAATGTAGAGAAAAGTCGTCTTACACTTAGGTAAGAAAACCCAAAAACACACATATAGACTGGGGGAAACCAGGATTCTTAATAGCAGGAACTGTGAGAGGGTTCTCGGAGTCTTAGTGGACAACCAGCTAAATATGAGCCAGACGTGTTCAGCGGCAGCCAAAAAAGCCAATGCAATCCTAAACTGCATTAACAGAGGGATGCAATCAAGATCAAGTGAGGTACTAATACCACTCTATAAAGCCCTAGTAAGACCACACCTAGAGTACTGCATCCAGTTTTGGTCGCCACACTATAAAAAAGATGTGGAGACTCTAGAAAGAGTGCAGAGAAGAGCAATAAAGAGGATGGGGGGACTGGAGGCTAAAACATATGAAGAACGGTTGCAGGAACTGGGCATGGCTAGTTTAATGAAGAGAAGGACCAGGGGAGACAGGATAGCATCTTCCCATATTTGAGGGGCTGCCCCAGAGAGGAGGAAGGGGGTCGAGCTGTTTTTCAAAGCCCCCGAAGGCCAGACAAGGAATAATGGATGGAAACTGAACAAGGAAAGATTCAACCTGGAAATAAGGAGAGTATTTTCTGACCGTGAGAACAATCAACCCATGGAACAGAAGTTGCCTTTGGAAGTTGTGGGAGCTTCATCACTGGAGAGTTTCAAGAAGAGATTGGACTATCACCTGTTAGACATGGTGCAGGTCTTCTGTCAAGACCAGTGAAAGCAGCAGAGAGAGTTGGGGGGGCGGGGGGGGGTGTTTGACAAGGAAAAAATAAGTCACTTATTAAAAAATATTGTTTTCAATGTCTCTAGGACGTTGAAATAACAGAGTTGGAAGGGACCTTGGAGGTCTTCTAGTCCAACCCCCTGCTTAGGCAGGAAACTCTACACCACTTCAGACAAATGGTTATCTCATCTCTTCTTAAAAACTTCCAGTTTTGGAGCATTCACAACTTCTAGTGGCAAGTTGTTCCACTGATTAATTGTTCTCACTGTCAGGGAATTTCTCTTTTATTTCTAAGTTGCTTCTCTTCTTGATTAGTTTCCACCCATTGCTTCTTGTCCTGCCCTCAGGTGCTTTAGAGAATAGCTTGACTCCCTCTTCTTTGGGGCAGCCCCTCAAATATTTGGAAGACTGCGATCATATCACCCCTGGTCCTTCTTGTCATTAAACTAGACATATCCAGTTCCTGCAACCGTTCTTCATATGTTTTAGCCTCCAGTCCCTTAATCATCTTTGTTGCTCTTCTCTGCACTCTTTCTAGAGTCTCCACATCTTTTTTACATTGTCACAACCAAAACTGAATGCAGTTGTGAAGTTTCCGAAAGATGCCCTAATTAATTCATGAGCCATGAGCCAAACCTCAAAAGAAATACAGTCGTTTATTAGGAGCACCATTTCGGCAACACTGGGATGCAGTTAGGACTGATCCCACGTAGATTTACGTTCCCCTATGACCCTGTCTCTCCCCTCCTCTCTGGCCATGTCATAAATCACATTCTCCAATTCACCACTTTGGCTGGCTGTGAAACCTAACACCCTCCTTCTGATTGCGGTCAGGAAGAATGTATGGAATGCACTTCAGTTCTCCCTCCCTCCTGCTCATGGCAACTTGAAAGCTTTGCAAGTTGACAGCAATATTCCAAGTGTGGCCTCACCAAGGCCTTATAAAGTGGTATTAACACTTCACGTGATCTTGATTCCATCCCTCTGTTGATGCAGCCTAGAACTGTGTTGGCTTTTTTGGCAGCTGCTGCACACGGCTGGCTCATATCTAAATGGTTGTCTTGTTTTAAATGTTCATTAAAAAAGATAAATAGATGACAACGCAGAGTCTTGCAAGTTTCTTGCATCAGCTTTGGCTATTCTCAGTAACCCGTTTCTTCCCTCCTCTCCTCCCTGTTCACAGTCCCTGCGAAGGCTTTTCTGCTTAAAATCCTGGCATCCCATAATTAACGGAAATCAAGAGCCTTTTCTGTTCTAAAAAAAGAAAGCTACATTATCATCGCCATCATAATAAAAGAATCTGTTATTTCCTCCCATAAAAGAGGATTTAGACGCTTCTCATGTAAAGCACAAGGGACCTATTGTGTGTGTTTCAATTTTACCGGGTATGATTAACACAAATTAGGCAGGCGTTCAAATTACTCATTTTGGAGACAAAGCGGGTGTGATTTTCCTTCAAGGACCAGTAAAATGAACACCAAACTCCAGATGGGGACAAAAGTTAAGACAGGTAGTCCTCGAATTACGACTACAGTCGAGGCCCATTGTTTTTGCTGCTAAGCGAGACAGTTGATATATATAAATAATAAATAATAAATAAATTTATAATAAATAAATAATATTTGTTCATTCATTCATTCATTTATCAGAATTTGGGCAATAATAAATAAATTTATATAAATTAATAATAAATAAATAATATTCATTCATTCATTCATTTATAAGAATTTGAGCAATAATAATAAATTTATATAAATTTATAATAAATAATAAATAAAAAATAATATTCATTCATTCATTCATTCATTTATAGCAATTTGGGCAATAATAATAAATAAAATTATATAAATAAATAACAAATAATAAATTATTATTATTGTTTAGACTTTTATACCGCTTCATAGTGCTTTACAGCCCTCTCTAAGTGGTTTACAAAGTTAGCATATAGCATATTGCATATTAGCATATTGCATTAGCATTAGCATATGGCCCCCAACAATCTGGGTCCTCATTTTACCCACCTCGGAAGGATGGAAGGCTGAGTCAACCTTGAGCCGGTGAGATTTGATCTGCTGATCTGCTGAACTAGCAGTCAGCTGAAGTAGCTGCAGTACAGCACTCTAACCACTGCGCCACCTCGGCTCTTAATAAATAATAAATAATAATATTTATTTATTCATTCATTCATCCATCCATTCATTTATAAGAATTTGGGGTTTTTTCTAATCTACCTTGGGAGCTGAAGGGAATGCCAATCCGACTGCAATCTCGAACCATATCCACAAAACTGGAAATTTTAAATTCTTCAGCCGACTCTTCATCTTCGTACTAATAAAATGAGAAGGAGGGAGAATCTTTTGAAAATAAAGACAATAAATCCCCAAAGGCACGATGGCTTTTAATTCCATCTCAAATCCAAAGTCCATTTATGCTTCCAGTGGATCTAAAAAAGACTGCCGTTTAGGATCGCCAGTTCCTGCAAAGCAAAATAGAAATTCTAGTACAGGTAAGTCCTCGACTTAACGACCGCAATGGAGCCCAAAATTTATGTTGCTAAGTGAGACAGTTGTTAAGTGAGTTTTGCCCCATTATAACGGCCCTTCTAGTGAACAGATTTTAAATGATTCACTGCAGGTGTTAAATTAGTACCGCGTTGTTAAGCGAAATCTGGCTTCCCCATTGATTTTGCGGGTCAAAAGGTCGCAGAACGGGATCACGTGACCTTGGGACGCAGAAACGGTCGTAAGTATGAGCCAGTTGCCAAGGATATGAATTTTGATCACATGAGCAAGGGGGATGCTGCAAAGGTTTTTAAGTGTGAAAAATGGTCACTTTTTCCAGGGCCGTCGTAACTTTGAACAGTCACTAAATGAACTGTTGTAAATCGAGGACTACCTGTAATCCAAGGAAATGCATGTAACTAATTTCTAGCAACTTGTTTTTTCACTTAATGAGTCAAATTGGTGCCCATCAACCATTCAAACTAAAAAGCCAAAAATAATTCTGTGTTAAAAAACTTTACACAACGCTAAGCCCAACTTCTCCCACTGGCTGCTGTCTTTATTTTGTGTTTATTTCTTGACTTGTATCCCACTTTTATTATTTCTACAAACAATTCAAGGCCGCAAACAGATCCTTCCTCCTCCTACTTTCCCAATAATAACCACCCTGTGAGGTAGGCTTGGGCTGAGAAAGTGGGACTGGCCCACAGTCATCCAGTCAGCTTTCGTGCCTAAGATGTGACTAGAACTCACCACCTCCTGGTGATTGAGCCAAAGTCACCTTGCCAGCTTTTATGTCTAAGTCGGAACTAGAATTCACCACCTCCTGGTGATTGGCCAAAACACAACCATTTGGCTTTCATGGCTAAGATGGGACTAGAACTCACTGCTTCCTGGTGATTCGCTCAAAGTCACCCAGCTGGCTTTCATACCTATGGCAGAACTAGAACTTCCAGTCTCCTGGTGATTGGCCCAAAGTATGAAGAACATATAAAGAATGGTTGCAGGAACTGGACATGTCTAGTTTAATGAAAGGAAGGACTAGGGGAGATGTGATAGCAGTCTTCCAATATCTCAGGGGCTGCCAGAAAGAAGAGGGAGTCAAGCTATTCTCCAAAGCACCCGAAGGCAGGATAAGAAGCAACGGGTGGAAACTAACCAAGGAGAGAAGCAACCTAGAATTAAGGAGAAATTTCCTAATAGTGAGGACAATTAACCAGTGGAACAGCTTGCCACCATAAGTTGTGGGTGCTCTATCACTGGAGGTTTTTAAGAAGAGACTGGACAGCCACTTGTCTCAAATGGCATAGGGTCTGCTGCTTGAGCAGGGGGTTGGACTAGAAGACCTCTAAGGTCCCTTCCAACTCTGTTATTCTATTCTATTCTATTCTATTCTATTCTATTCTATTCTATTCTAGTCACCCAGCTGGCTTTCATACCTAAGGCAGAACTAGAACTCCCAGTCTCCTATTGATTGGCCCAAAGTCACCCAGCTGGCTTTCATACCTAAGATGGAACTAGAACTCCCAGTCTCCTATTGATTGGCCCAAAGTCACTAAGCTGGCTTTCATACCTAAGGTGGAACTAGAACTCCCAGCCTCCTAGTGATTGGCCCAAAGTCACCCAGCTGGCTTTCATACCTAAGGCGGAACTAGAACTCCCAGTCTCCTATTGATTGGCCCAAAGTCACCCAGCTGGCTTTCATACCTAAGGCGGAACTAGAACTCCCAGTCTCCTAGTGATTGGCCCAAAGTCACCCAGCTGGCTTTCATACCTAAGGCGGAACTAGAACTCCCAGCCTCCTTGTTTCTAAGCCAACACCTTAACTACTACACCAAACTCTCTCTCTCTCTTTCTTTCTACCTGGTGGAATATGGCAAGCAAGACATTTTCTGCCCCAAAGTAAAAAAAAAATAGTTTTGCAAGCACTCGAAAGCTGGCCCACGCTGAATCGCGAAAAAGGACGCCTTCGTTTGCTGCCACTCTCCGATCGCGCCAACTCCCTGCTTTCAAACCGGCACGTTTATTTTCTGCCAGCCTTGAATCCTCAAATTCGGAGCAGAGCTCAACCTGAGCCTTTCCTTTTTGAAAAGAAAACCCAACCCATAATAAATAGAAAGGCACCTAAAATCCAGCTTCTGCGTATTTCCCCAAAAGCCCAAACGCTGGACGGCGAACCCTGCCAAACTCGGTTTAAAAAATAAAACAACACAAAAAATAAACGGATTTTACAGAATTCGTTGAAAAGGATAACTGGCGATAACTGAACAGAGCCTTGGCACTCTTGAACAGGGTCCCTGCTGAAGAAGCTGCTTGTGATTTTCAAAGCCCCTTTGGAGGGTTTTTTCATAAGCCCTCTCCAATTTAAAAGTCTATTGTGCTCTATTTCATGGATGCCAACCACTCCATCGACAATTTCGTTTTATGGCATTCCTGGCGTTTCATTATCCAAGGCGGCTCCCACTCCGGGCTGGTGGCACGAGGTTGAGAAAGGAACGGAAGACAAAAGAACAGCAGAAACAAAAATTGGGCCAAAAATTGATGTTTTAAAAGCCCGGCGGGGACGCCAGCTCCCCTGCGAATGCGTCCAACCTCTCCAAAATGAAAGACGCAAATGGCAGACAGGAGGCCAGCTGGGAGAGGATTTTGGAAAGCAGCAACTGGGCTGCCTGAGAGACGAGGCTGGATGGATATACGACACCGTGGAATGATAGAATATTGTAGGTGGTTTACAGGAAAACGGATTTTCGTGCGCGCTGAGGTTGCGCGAGAAACGGGAAAAAGGAAGGAATTGGAAAACTACGAGAGGCTGACTGTCGGATTTAAGGAAGTGCTCGAGTTGTGACCACAATTGAACCCAAGCTTGCCGTTGCTAAGCAGGACAGTTATTCCGAGTAGCTTTACAGGATTTTATTGACGTCTTTAAGGTTTTGTAGAGTTTTTAAGATGGGGAAACGCTCAGAGTTACCACGTGGTAAGAGGGGCGGCCGATAAATTTTACCGATAAATAAGGGAGGTTCGCCCCCTTTGGGGTCCTTTTTTGCCACCGCTGTTAAGGGAATCGTTGGGTCGTTAAGTAAATCGGGCTTCCCTCGTGTGACTTTGTTTGTCGGAATTCGGCTGGGAAGGTCATAAACGGTGATCATGTGACCCCGGGATGCTAAAACTGTCATAAGTACATGCCAGTTGCCAAGCGTTTGAATTTTGATCACGGGGATGCTACAAAGGTCATAACTGTGAAAAACGGCCGTCCCTTTTTGCAGTGCCGTTGTAACTTTGGATTGTTGTTAAATTGAGGACTACCTGTACTCCTCTTTCCCAAAAAAGTATTTCTTTAAATTTTAAAAATGCTCAAAAATTTCCCAGCAGTTGGGAAGATTTACATCCGGTCTAAAGCCCCCTTTTTGTCCTGGAATGAAAAAGCACAGCGCACTCTAACCAATATGAATGTAATACAGGTAATCCTCGACTTACGACCATTCATTTAGTGACCGTTCAGTTACAATGGCACTGAAAAAAGGGATTTACTGTACATCCATTTTTCCACACTTAACGACTGTTTGCGGCCTCCTCACAGACACGTGGTCAAAAATTCAGACGCTCGGCAACGGACTCATATTTATGAAGGTCGCCATGTCCTGGGATCATGCGATTTCCCCCTTATGTGACCTTCTGACGAGCGCCGGGAAAGCCAGATTCACTTAACAACTGCGGTTACTTAACTTAACAACCGCAGCAATTCACTGAACAAATGTGGCAAGAAATGTCGGTCTTGCTTAGCAAGAGAAACTTTGTTGTCGTAAGTCAAGGACTACGTGTTCAGTTAAAAGATTCTGGGCAACATGGCAGGAAATGTTGTATTTTTTTTTAGAGCTCTGGCTAGTCTCTACGACCGGGGTCCCCAAACTTGGCAGCTTTAAGACTTGTGGATTTCAACTCCCAGAATTCTCCAGCCAGCTGGCTGGAGAATTCTGGGAGTTGAAGTCCACAAGTCTTAAAGCTGCCAAGTTTTTGAAGTCCACAACTCTTAAAGCTGCCAAGTTTGGGGACCCCTGCTCTACAACAACGTTTCTCAACCTTGGCAATGATAAGGTGTGTGGACTTCAACTCCCAGAATTCCCCCACCAGAAAAGCTGAAATCCTGCACAGGAAGTCCAAACTTTCACACTCTGCGCACCCCCCACACCTTCACCCCGAGTTCTTCCTCCGTTTGTGGCTCACTCGCTCACCTCCGTTTCCGTCAAGCAGTGGAAATGCAGGTTTCTCCAAAACGCCACGTAGGGCAGCAGGTAGTTGTAATTGACAGGGTTGCAGTACAGATGGACGCTGTCCGGCTTCACCAGCAGGATCACATCTGCGAAACAAGGGGTCGTAAAAAGAGGACTCGTGAGAAGCGGGGAAGCGCCGGCATCATCGGCGACCAGGAACGGAGGTTCATACCAGCCCGCCGGGGAGTGAGTGGGGGGCAGCTCCCTCTTACCGTCGAGGACTTCTTCAGGGAATCCTGATCTCTCAAACTCATTGTTGTTCTGGCTATACAAGCCGAAGAGGAGATAGTTAGCCAGTTCCCGGCATCCTTCATTGTACCGACTATCAATTCCTGCACAAAAGAACAAAAACAAAACAAAACAGGACATTTGGAGAATATGATATTGGGGGATGTTACTTTTTGTTTAGGGACGCAGTGGCTCAGTGGCTAAGGCGCTGAGCTTGTCGATCGAAAGGTCGGCAGTTCAGCGGTTCGAGTCCCTGGTGCCGCGTAACGGGGTGAGCTCCCGTTCCTTGTCCCAGTTTCTGCCAACCTAGCAGTTCGAAAGCAGGTAAAAAATGCAAGTAGAAAAATAGGGACCACTTTTGGTGGGAAGGGAACAGCATTCCGTGCGCCTTTGGCGTTGAGTCATGCCGGCCACATGACCACGGAGACGTCTTCGGACAGCGCTGGCTCTTCAGCTTTGAAACGGAGATAAGCACCGCCCCCCCCCAGAGTCAGGAATGACTAGCATGTATGTGTGAAGGGAACCTTTACCTTACTTGTTGTTTGGGTTCAGGGCAGTTCCTGACCACTCAGGAAGTATCAAGAGAAGAGAATATTTGCAGCTCGGAGTTGAGCTGTGGGGGTCCTTGATGCTCTCTGAGCTGGGTTTTCTTGCAGACGTTTCATGACCCAACTAGGGAACATCATCAGTGTTAGAAAAGGAGGAAACAGCCTAATCAAAATTGTAAACGGTCTAGCACTGATGATGTTCCCTAGTTGAGTCATGAAACGTCTACAAGAAAACTACCAAGCTCAGAGAGCATCAAGGACCCCACAGCTCAAATCGGAGATACAAGCATTCTCTTCTACTGGTTGCCAACCTTTCAGTAGCAGCTACTCAAATACATGCCAGTTGTCACTTGATCATAGGGATGCTGAAACAGCTGGAAGTGCAAGGATTGATTTTAAGTTTTTTTTTTTTGTCAAAGCTATTAAAACTTTTTAAGATGTGTGGATTTCAAATCCCGGAATTCCCCAGCCAGGTATTTTAATTTTGGGGGTTTTAAATCGGCCAAATCTATTTAATTATTTTAATTTTTAATTATTGTTGTGTCTTGTGTTTTTAAATTGGCTGTACACCGCCCTGAGTCCTTCAGGAGAAGGGCGGTATAGAAATAAAATTATTATTATTATTATTATTATTATTATTATTATTATTATTATTATTATTATTATTATTATTATTAAATGACCCTTCATGTTGCCCATGTTTCCAACAGAAATCTGAAATGCCCTTACATGTTCTAGATAATTTTTCTGGAGCTACAGTATTGAAGAAATTCTCTTTTAAAATTTTAACACGGCAACTTCATTCGACCGCATGCTTTTCCACTGCTCCAATCAGGAAAGTCCAAATTTCTTAGCAATATACAGGAGTGGCCAAAATTGTGGAAGCCTTTTGGGAAAAGTGTATTTTTGAGGTTTGATGGCTAATAACACCACTTTTTTTGGGGGGGGGGGGAGTTTCAAGATAATCCTATTCCACTGCTGGAATGGCCTGGGAAGAGCCCAGACCTTCACCCAATTGGAAATCTATGGTGCTGACTGAAACTTGTTCGTCAGAAGCGACCCAGCAATAAAACCCAGTTAATAGAAACAATCCTTCAATCTTGGTTTCACATTATAAACAGCTGCAGAACTAAAAGACTTGATTCATTCCATGGGAAGACGTCGTAAGGCCGTAATTCATGCTAAAGGTGACCCAACTAAGGATTAACTGACACGGTGATAATTTTCGTATATCTTGTTTTTTTTTTCTAGGGTGATCATTTTTGTGTATCTCGTTTTTTTCGACGTGTTTCACTTTTCTTCTTCATACTGTAACTGCTCTCCCAAGAGCAAATCCTTCATAAAAGCTATTGCATTACATTCTTGATTAAATTATCTTTCCACTGATATATGATTTTATGGTACTGCTCAAAAAAAAAAAAAAAGTGGTGTTATGAAGCTAGTTTTAGAAATTATACTTTTCCCCAAAAGGTTCCCACAATTTGGGCCACTCCTGTAGGGTACATTTCTATTAGTCGCTCTGGATACGATGCAATTTAGAAAGTTGAAAGATGGTTTCGGGATATCCATCGTTTTAGGAAAACCCGCAGCCAACATCGATTGGAGCAACCAGACAGTTTTTCCCATGAAGAGTGAATTAATTGCGGGTGAGGTTTTGCATGAAGTTTACACCTTAGAAAGGTAGCTGGTGCCAGCAGGATGTGTTTCAACCTCACCCATGATGCCAGGGTGTTAATTTGCTTCCGTGAGTTCAGAGTGACTTCCCACCCCAAAGTTGCATCACTGAGACGAGGAATATTTCGAGCCAACATGGTTCCATCGAGCAGCCAAACTAGAGACGCCGAGCCAAATTTGACACCTGTTGCCATAAGGGCCGGGTTCTAAATTTTTTTACTACCAGTTCTGTGGGCGTGGCTTATTTTGTGGGTGTGGCTTGGAGGTCATGTGACTAGGTGGGCGTGGCTAGCTGGTCAGAGTCATTTCTGGAAGGTCCTTGCACTTACGACCAGTCCTCGCACTCACGACCCGACTCATTTGTTTGCTTTTAACACTGATCAGCTGTAGGGCGGCCCTTTGGAGCCCCGCCCGGCAAGAGTTTAAACAGTTTTTTTCCCTCTAGTCATCAGCTGGGACTCAGGAGGCAGCAAGAGATTGGGGGTGGGACCAAATAAAAGGTAAGAATAACGTGGGGGGGTCGGGGGGTGGGAGGGCGGGGGGAAGAACCAGTTCGGTGATGTCATATCTTCACCGCTACGGCTCAGCCGAACCGGACCGAACCGGGAGGAACCCACCACTGATCTTCATGTAAAATCTCCATTCCCTCTCCAATCCAGGGGACAGATACTGCAAAATCCCCATTTCTTCCTGATCAGCTGGGACTCGGGAGGCAGCAATAGATTGGGGGTGGGACCAAATAAAAGGTAAGAATAACGTGGGGGGGTGGGAGGGCGGGATGGGAGAACCGGTTCGGTGACATCATATCGTCACCGCTACCAGCTCGGCCGAACTGGACCGAACCGGGAGGAACCCACCACTGGTTGGGACCATCAAATGTGACAGCTGGGGAAAATGGTGCCATTTGATCTCCGTGGTATTAAAGTGCCTAAATCTGCTGTCCAGAGCAGGGGTCTCCAACCTTGGCAACTTGAAGACTTGTGGACTTCAACTCCCAGAGTTCCCTCAGCCAGCTTTGAAATGGCAGAATAATTAAATCTATTAGACATCTGGAGATTTCGTAACCCGGACGAAACAAAATTTACCTTCTATTCCAACCCCCCTAGATCCTGATCGAGAATCGATATGGCCTGGATATATGGAGATCTAGTTAAAGAGCCTTGATAGTACAGTGGTTTAGTGCACCCTGTCATTAACACCGCTGCCTGCAATTTCTGCTGGTTCGAATCTCTCCAAGGCTCAAGGTTGACTCAGCCTTCCATCCTTTCTAAGGTAGGTGAAATGAGGACCCAGTTTGTGGGGGCAATAAGCTGACTTTGTATAAATATACAAAAGGATGAAGGCTATTGCTTAGCGCATTGTAAGCCGTCCTGAGTCTCCGGAGAAGGGCGGCATATAAATCAAATAAAAATAAATAAAAAATAAATAAATAAAAGATGTTGAAACTAATGTAGAGATTATGCCAAACACATGGGCCGATCATAATCCTCTCAAAATAATATGGAAAGGGCATAAAAGAAAGAGAGGTAGATGGCCGTTGAATCCACCAATTTTAAAAGAGAAAGAATATATTCAAGAGATTCTGAAAGAATTGGAATTATATTTTAGAGACAATAAAAAACCCCACACCTCATTACAAAACCTTTGTGACACTACGAAAGCTTATTTAAGGGGGGATTACAATGCACAAAGAAATAAAGATAAGTGGAGAGAACATAACATGTTGTCAGAGGAAATTAAGAAATTAGAAAATCAACTACAAACAGATCCGGAGGATGAACAAATTAAAAGGCAATAATTTCTAATCCCGAATCCCAGTGAAACCTAGAACCAAAACTGAACCCGCCTAAGAAATTTCATTTCAGGTCATTTATTTGGATCACGCCTTTCTTATTCTCACAAACAACCCAAGGCAGCAAACGTATTCCATACATCCTCTACTTTTTCCCATAACAACCACCCTGCGAGGTGGACTGGGCCGAGAGTAGAGGGACTGATCCAAAGTCACCCGGCCGGCATTCTTGCTTAAGGCAGGGCTAGAACTCACCATCTCCTGGTGCTCGGCCCTAAGTCAACAGCTGGGTTTCATGCCTAAACACAGGGCTGGAACTCACCATCTCTTCATGCCAAGGCAGGACTAGAATTCACTGTCTCCTGGTGATTGGTCAAAGTCACCCGGTCGGATTTCATGCCCAAGGCAGGACTAGAACTCACCGTCTCCTGGTGATTGTCCCAAAGTCACCCAGTCGGATTTCATGCCCGAGGCAGGACTAGAACTCACCGTCTCCTGGTGATTGTCCCAAAGTCACCCAGTTGGATTATATGCCCAAGGCAGGACTAGAACTCCCTGTCTCCTGGTGATTGGCCCAAAGTCACCCAGTCGGATTATATGCCTGAGGCAGGACTAGAACTCCCTGTCTCCTGGTGATTGGCCCAAAGTTACCCTGTCGGATTGTTTAGATTACTTTGTCGTTATATAAATAGCTAGCTTATATTATTATGGAAAAGTAAGAAAGTTGAGTTTCTTTGTGAATGCTTTACTCTGCTGCAACAGAGGGAGTTGGAAGTCAATGCTTTTTTTCCCTTTCCCCCTCCCTTTTCTTTCCCCTTCCCCTCGCCACCGTGTCCTACTAGTTGCTTTTGTATTTTTCTATTTTACTCTATCATTTAATAAAAAGTTTTAAAAATTTTTACCCTCTGTCCTTCCCAAAAGGAAAAATTCCGGCTTGATTTCTATAATTATTTATAAAATTTCTTCAAGCCAACTCTTTATTAAATTCCAATATTTTTTTGCCTTTGGGCATTCCCACCACATATGGTAGAAATCCCCCGAAGGCGTCTTACACTTCCAACAAGCCGAAGAATTTCCCTTATTGAGGGTAAATATAAGAAAGAAAGAAATTATCTATTATTGTATATACTCACAGCGGCACGGATAGCCTTTGCTCATAAGTGGAAAGAGAAAGATACCCCAACTGAAGAGGAAATATTATTAAAAATTCTTAACTGTGCAGAAATGGACAGATTTACCTTGGAGCTCAAGGATAAATGTGAAACACAGTACTATATAATCTGGAAAATTTTTTACAAATGGCTAGACAAAAGGAGGATAGCCGAGACAAGGGTGTAGTGTTGGAGGAGAAATATATGACAGATAAATACATATGTAAATTGCATAAATAGGCACAGGTATAGATTAACAAGTATGTATAATTGTGTAGAAATATGATATAGATTGTTAGTATGATGTTATGTATAAATAATGTATAAGGTTAAAGAATTCTATTATAATATTAACTTTAACATAATTATTATTATTTTTTTTAAAATTTGATTTATATGCCGCCCTTCTCCGGAGACTCAGGTTACAATGCGTTAAGCAATAGCCTTCATACTTTTGTATATTTTACAAATTTGTATATTTACAAATTTGTATTAGTTTAAAGTGTTGGAAGATATTTAGAACCAGTGATGTCATATCTATGTCCGATGTTTATGATTAATAAAAAACTTTAAAAAAATTTTTTTTAAAGTTTTTTGAAATATGCAAAATATGCAAAGCTCAACAAAAACGGTACATATCCAGAGCTGAAGGTCCTTTAGCGAAGGATTTTCCAATCTTGGCGACTTGAAGACTTGTGGACTTCAACTCCCAGAGTTCCTCAGCCAGCAAAGCTGGCCACAAGTCTTAAAGTTGCCAAGGTTGGAGACCCCTGCTCCTGGACTTTCTTTCTTTTTTTTTCTTCTGAAGACGTTTCGCTTCTCATCCAAGAAGCTTCTTCGGGTCTGACTGGGCGGTGGGGAATGGAAGGATTTATACTCCTTGCAGACAGCTGGTCCTTTGCATCCTTTTAGAGGGTCGTTGAGGCCACTTGGAGGTTTATCTGTGTCCTCAGGGTCACCTGAGTAGTGAAAATGGTTTCTGTAGTCTGAAATTTTTCTCTGAAATCCCTTCCTACTCCAACACCATTCAAAGGATTTCCAAAGGGTCAGGACCATCCATTAAAATTGCAGCCCAGAAGATTTTTTTTAAAAACCAAAATCTGTCAACTAAAGTTCAACACTAAATTGGAGCCAGATAAAAATCAACAGAATTCAGGAGAGGCTGGATCGCCACCCTTTGTTGCAATATAACGATTCCAAGCTGATGATGTGCTTAACTCCACCCTCTAGTCCTGCCTTGCTCTTCTCCTACCGATGATGGTTGAATCTTCAGCTTCTATTTTTGCTACTGAGCAGGAAGGGAGACATAATGGGATAGGTCAACTCCTAACCTTGGACCCCATGAAAATGATGTCCCTTCCCTCTTTCTTTTCTCCCAGGACGCTTGCCAATCCAGATGGGAGAGGAAGATCAGATATGGAACTTGGTATCTGGACCCAAAGACGTGGAAAAAACAGAATGTGAATGAACCTTTAGAAAACCCAAAAGAGAGCAGCCTCAAGAATTCTAGAAGCTCTTAAGTGAAGAGGTATGTTGCAAGTTCCTGTTGGGAGGGAGGGAGGGAAGGAAGGAAGGAGGGAGAGGGGGAGCAGGAGGAGGGAAGGGAGGAAGGGAGGGAGAGGAGAAGAAGGAGCAGGAGGAGGGAAGGAAGGAAGGAAGGAAAAGAAGGAAGGAAGGAAGGAGGGAAGGAAGGAAGGAAGGAAAGGAAGGAAGGGGCTTATTATGAAGAATTATGAGGAGGGAGGGAGAGGGGGAGCAGGAGGAGGGAGGGAGGGAGGGAAGGAAGGAAAGGAAGGAAGGAAGGAAGGAAGGAAGGAAGGAAGGGAAGGAAGGAAGGAAGGATAGGAAGGAAGGGGCTTATTATGAAGAAATTATGAAGAGGAGGGAGGGAGAGGGGGAGCAGGAGGAGGGAAGGAAGGAAGGAAGGAAAGGAAGGAAGGAAGGAAAGAAGGAAAGGAAGGAAGAAGGAAAGGAAGGAAGGGGCTTATTATGAAGAGATTATGAAGAGGAGGGAGGGAGGGGGAGCAGGAGGAGGGAAGGGAGGAAGGGAGGAAGAGGAGAAGAAGGAGCAGGAGGAGGGAAGGAGGAAGGAAGGAAAGGAAAGAAGGAAGGAAGGGATTTATTATGAAGAGATTATGAAGAGGAGGGAGGGGGAGCAGGAGGAGGGAGGAGAGGGGGGGAGGGAGGGAGGGAGGGAGGAAGGAAGGAAGGAAGGAAGGAAGGAAGGAAGGGAAAAAAGGAAAGAGAAAGAGTCCTTATTCTGATTTTTGGATGATTTTTGCAGGATGCCAAGCTCATACACCTTCATGGAACTCACGCTTTCCAGGAATTTCTTGTACAAAAGGGTTATCGGATACCAGAGGTAAACTTCCAATGCCTACCACTCGTCTAGCAGTCAGCCAATCTGTTGGCCTCCAGATGTTTCAGCATTTCTTTAACATTGGTTGCAGCCAGCACAGTCAACACCCCAAATATCTGGAAGGTATCAAGGTGCCATTCTCTGATTCCTAGCCTCTAGTCCTCCTTTTGGTTCAAACGTGTTTGCAAAACCAAAGGGAACCCCTGTTCATTTAGTGACCGACTGTTTCTTTTTCCTGTCTGGTTTTAGACCAGGGCAGCTTTTATTTCCAAATCCCTTGGCCTGCAGCCCTCAACATCCCTACTCAGCTGGTATGTAGGGCAGTGGTGGGTTTCAAATTTTTTACTACTGGTTCTGTGGGCGTGGCATGGCTTGGTGGGCGTGGCATGCACGTGGCAGGGGAAGGATACTGTAAAATCTCCATTCCCACCCCACTCCAGGGGAAGGTTACTGCAAAATCCCCATTTCCTCCCAATCAGCTGGGACTCGGGAGGCAGAGAATAGATGGGGTGGGGCCAGTCAGAATTTTTACTACCGGTTCTCCAAACTCCTCAAAATGTCTGCTACCGGTTCTCCGGAACTGGTCAGAACCTGCTGAAACCCCCCTCTGATGTAGGCACAGGTAGTCCTCAACTTATAATCATTCATTTAGGAACCATTTGAAGTTACAGAGACACTGAAAAATGTGACTTATGAGTTACGACGATTTTTCACACTTACGACGGTTGCAGCATCCCCATGGTCACCTGATTAAAATTCAGACGCTTTGAAACGGTTTCATATTTATGAAGTTGCAAAGTTTCGGGCATCCCTTTTGCAACTTTTTGACAAATAAAGTCAAGCCAGATGCACTTAATAACCATGTTACTAACTTGGACAACGGTGGCAAGAAAGGTCAGAAAATGGGGCCAAACTCACTTAACAACCGACTTGCTCCGTTGTGGTCGTAAGTCGAGGACTACCTGTATTGCAGCTTTTGAACAATGCTCCAGAATTTCTGCCTGCTATAATACATAGGATTCTGAATATCAGCTTTTATTTCTAATAGGTTGCTTTCTCAAAATCCCAAGAAATGCTCATTTTTAAAGAAAAGATCTATATACCAAGTTCCCCCCAAAATAAGACCCTGTTTTGAACCCCGAAATAAGCGCTTGGCTTATTTTGGGGCGCGTGGAACAAGATGGGGCTCCTCTTGCCATCTTACCTGATTTCCAGCTCTGTCTCCCTAACCCTAACCAGAGGAAATGGCGGGGACCGGCTTATTTTTGGGGAGGGCTTATTTTTTGGGGGGGCTTATTTTTAGCGCATGCACTCAAAAGCCCAAATGGGCTTATTATCAGGGACGTCTTATTTTAGGGGAAACAGTATATATTTTTGGCACTTAAAACTCTATTCTTTTTCCAAGGGGATAAAATTGTGTCCATGTCTCTAAAATTAGTTTGCCTTTTTGTAATAGCAAGTTGCTAAAGTGTAGGTCTTGGTAGGGCTACCAGATCTCCTGGAGATTAGGTAATTGCACCTGAAGAGATTCTGCCTGAAAAAAAAACAGCTCATATTCCCCTTACCAAGCAGGTGACGACCCGAATAGTGATAGTCAGAAAAAGTTTATATTCCAGGAAACTGTTGCGGGGGGGGGGGGACTCTAGATCCTGCAGCCACTTGGAAGCCTCGCGGCCCTTCTATAAGATCAGATTTCTAAAGTCTTTGGGTCAGCAAAAATTGGCTCGCCGAAATCTGTTCCTTTCAACAGTTGAGTGAAATTGTATGTTTTGAATCAGTTTTTGCAGCAGATGCTGGAGGAACAGAATGACGTTGAGCCAAAAGTGGGAGGTTTGAAGAACGCCAAGGATGAACCAGAAATGCAAAGAGCTCAGAGAAGATTATTCATCAGTGGTGGGAAACAAATACGAAGACCAAAGAATCCAGTGATCACGAGAACGGAAGCCGACCACAGCTCTGTCTACGATGTTATTTGAATAGGAATTCTTCCTAAGGACATGTACCTGGATGAAATTTTCTGAGCAATACCCGGTGGGGATTCCCTACCTAAATCCTTTGCCGCTTTTTTGAAACTGGTTGGAACAGAAGTTGCCTTCAGAAGTTGTGGGAGCTTCATCAATGGAAGCTTTCAAGAAGAGATTCGACTGCCACCTGTCAGAAATGGTGTAGGGCCATGATCGCGAACCTATGGCACGCGTGCCACAGGTGGCACATGAGCCATATCTGTGGGCACCGAGCATTGCCCTAGATCAGCTCCAGCACATATGCGTGCGCCGGCCAACTGATTTTCTAGCCTTCCGGGTCCACCGGAAGTTGGGAAACAGTCTTTTTCTGGCCTCCAGGGGAGTGGGGAAGGCTGTTTTCGCCCTCCCCAGGCTCTGAGAAAGCCTCTGAGCCTGGGGAGGGTGAAAAATGTGCCTACCGGGCCCACTGTGTCATTGCGTGCCAAAAACAGGGGGACCACGGGGGGGGATCGCAGGTGCATGTGTGGGGGGAGGGGCACATTGAATTAAGGGTGTGGGCACACGCACGTGTGACCCCCTGCATTCCCCCCACTTTTGGCACGCGATGGCAAAAAGGTTAGCCATCACTGGTGTAGGAGTTCCTTGAGTGGGGTGGGTGGGTGGGTTGGACTAGATGACCTTACCCTTCCAACTCTGTTAATCTGTATTAATCAGAATAAAAGGTGTAGTTGGAATCAACAGACCTGCTTGGTACACCTGGGAAAACCCAACAGTCACCCAACAACAGTTTGAATGTTTTCTTTCACCGATTTGTTATTGCTGTCTCTAACCACACCACACACAACTGCTGCTTAGTTTGTTTCCCCGCCCACAACTGGCAGGAGATCCTGGATCTTCAGTCTTATTGCCCCTGCAATATGTCCTTGTTGGGCACCCGAAGTGGGTTTGTGCTGCGTTGCTGTCCATACTGCTTTAACATACAACGTTCTAAAAGTTGTCATTGTTGGTTCCCTCTAATAAAATTCTGCCCCTATCCTAACTATGTGAGGCGAGTTTCCAATCCTCCCGACAACCACAAGAAATTTGTAGGGTGGAGAACAAATGAACAACCAGATAGAAAAGGCTATGAAGACTCTCAGTCCTTCAGGACAGGACGCCTTGCGCACAGTCACTCACGCCCTCGTCACTTCCCGGCTGGACTATTGTAATGCTCTCTACATGGGGCTCCCTTGAGGAGCACCCGGAGGCTCCAGCTGGTCCAGAATGCAGCCGCGCTAGTAATAATGGGAGCGACTCGTCGCTCCCATGTAACATCCATCTTGCACGAGCTGCACTGGCTCCCGGTGGTCTTCCAGGTGCGCTTCAAGGTGTTGGTTATCACCTTTAAAGTGCTCCATAGCTTAGGACCTGGTTATCTACAGGACCACATTCTGCCACCGATTGCCTCCCACTGACCAATACGCTCCCACAGAGAGGGCCTCCTCAGGGTGCCGTCAGCCAAACAGTGTAGGCTGGCGACCCCCAGGGGAGAGCCTTCTCTGTGGGGGCCCCGGCCCTATGGAATGAACTGCCCCCGGACATACGAAGGATCCCTGACCTCCGTGCCTTCCGTCGCGCTCTGAAGACCCTATTATTTCAGCAAGCTGGTCTGACAGGATAAAGGTTTTTAAATTGGGTTTTGATAGGGGTTTTAAATGATCTTAGTTGGATGTTTTAAATTTGGCCAAATGATTGAATTATTTTAATAAGCTTTTCATTTTTGTTGTACGTTGTTTTTTCCATGGCTGTTCACCGCCCTGAGTCCCTCGGAGAAGGGCAGTATACAATATAATAAACTAAACTAAACTAAACTAAACTAATTTCAGGTCATGGTTGTCCCAAAGATGCTTTTTTCAGGAGGCAACTGGACTTTCTGGGTTTTTTTCTTTGAAGACATTTCGCTTCTCATCCAGGAAGCTTCTCCAGCTCAAACTGAATGATTCCCCACTGAAGAAGCTTCTTGGATGAGAAGTGACACGTCTTCAAAGAAAAACCAGATAGTCCAGTTGCCTCTTGGAAAAGCAACTTTGGGACAATCAGATAGAAAAGAGTGGCTCCCCCAGAAGACCAGGAGAACCTAATTAGATCCACAGGTTCACTGCTGTGGGAGATATCATTCCAAGCAGATTCCTCCATTCCCACCACAATCTTACATTGTCCACATTGGCATCTTAAACTGGAGTAAAGAGGGGAAAATTTGGGAGCTATAGGTTACAATGAGCACCCAGCTTACCAGGATCAACTCCAAAATATTTTGATGGAGCACTGGCCTTTGAAGAATATTTATTTACTTAATTTCCTGCCTTTATTATTTTATACACAGATACATATACAAAGTCAAGGCAATGAACATATCTAATCATTCTTTTTCTTCCTATTTTGCCCACAACAACCATTGGGCTGAGAGAGATTGATTGGCCCAAAGACACCCAGCTTCATCTCATGGTTGAGGTGGAACTAGAATTCACAGTCTCCTGGTGATTGGCCCAAAGACACCCAGCTGCATTTCATGGTTGAGGTGGAACTAGAATTCACAGTCTCCTGGTGATTGGCTCAAAATCCTCCAGCTGCGTTTCATGTGTAAGGTAGGGCTAGAACTCACTGTTTCCTGGTGACTGAGCCAATGTTACCCAATTGGCTTTCATGTCTAAGATGAGACTAGAACTCGCCAGGGTAGGATTCAAAAATTTTAGCAACTGGTTCTCTGCCCAGTTGCTGGTCTGGCGTGGCCATGGTGGGCATGGCCTACTCGGCCTCCTGTACTGCGTTTTCACCCACCCCAGGCTCTGGAGGCTTTCTTTGAGCCTCCGGGAGGACAAAAATGGCCTCCCCCGGGCTCTGGAGGCCCTCTGGAGGCCGAAAACGGGCCTGTTTCTGGACTTCGGGGAGGCCCATTTTTCATCCTCCCAGAGCCTCCGTGCGGGCCCTGCATTTACCTGGCATCCAAAATGGGCCTCATGGAGACTCCTGGGGGGTGAGGGGCGGGTGGGTGGGGCCAGCTGGTCCTTGCAACTACAAGATGTAGTTTACAAGATGTAAAATTAGCATCCGATTCGCCCGAACCAGTACGAACTGGCTGAATCCCACCCTGAACTCACCGTCTCCCACTTTCTAGCCTGGCGCCTTAACCGTAACCAAACTGATTCTTTATGCCGCTTTTATAGCAGTGAGAAATCTAACTCAAAAAGTTGAATTCCAATGAAACGACTGTCGCTTTCTTGAAATATTATTTTTATTGATGACATGCAATGAATGAAAAGGGTAAGTACAGAATGCAGTTAATAAGGGGAAAGGGGTTTAAATCGGAAGAAGCGTGAGGAAGAAATCAAGGGGGAGCATTCTGCTGATGCAGAGGAAAAGATGGACAACTTTTAAATGTTTTTTTCAGCATTCAGAGCAACGGGAGGATGTCTACACCAAAGACTTAAGATGGCTACTCTCTTCCACCCAGGAGGACCGTGCTTCCAAGAGAAAGATCTGAAGTAAGATCCCTCAGGAAATTCTCACAGCAGCCAAGCCAAACTACAATTCCCGGGATCCTTTGGGAGAATATCGAATGTTCATTTGAGCTCTTTCTCCCCCTTCTTAATTGTATAACTTTTTAGTCCATGGATCAATTACAGATGCCCAAAATGGCAGGGAGAAAGGAAGGAGTGGAGGTGGTCCTTGCACATTTGAAGCTTGGGATATGTAACTGCCTCCAGCACCATCCCGAAATGAGATGTGGAAGCAATCACTGGCATAATAAGGACCAACGGGCATTATCTGTGGTGTAGACATGCTCACAACGCTCAACAAAACACAACAGCTGTGTGGTCTAATCCGGATAGCAGGATTCAGGGGTTAGGGCTGTCTGAATGGTCGACGTTTTCCCCTTGTGGCTGAACAAGGCAGAAGCCGTGTAACACTTATTCCGGTCGTAGGTGTAACAGGGTTCCTGAGGATGACCACATAAAGTGCTTGAGCCGAACGTCACTCCCTTTACGGTTCTCGGGGGGTCATTGCATTTGTCACAGCTGGAACAAAAGACAGGAAGAGAAACGTTAAGCCCAGGTGATAAAAAAAATATCACGGAAATATCAATCAAGCTTCCCGTCTGTTGTCGAAAGTGCAAAATGATTTTTATAGAATTTCATTCCCTTGCTAAGCGAATGAAATTCTATAAAAAGCATCTTGCCAGCAGCTCTTGCCTTGGTCTTTATTCATAGGAGAAGAAAGCTTAAATTTGCTCTAGGAGCAGTGGTGGGAGTCAAATAATTTAACAACCGGTTCTCTGCCCTAAAGACCGGCTGGGTGCGTGGCCATGGTGGACGTGGCCAAGGGTGTGTGACAGGCAGCGCTTGGCCTCTTGCACCCACCCCTGGGAGCAAAAACAGGCCGTGGGGGGGGGGAACGAGCCACCCTCCCGCATCCCATTTGGGCCTAATAGGCCTCCCTGCAGCCTCCTGGGAGTGAAAATGGGCCATGGGGGTGGCTGCGCTGCACCCTTCGCATCCTGTGGGTCTCTCACACTTACCTGAGAGCCAAAATGGGGCGCCTGGGGACTCCTGGAAGGGGTGGGGAGGGAGGGGCAGGGCCAGCCAGCAATTTAACTATCGGTTTCACCCAAACCGGTTCAAACCGGCTGAATCCCACCACTATTTAGGAGTATATAGGGAGTCCTTCACTTAGGACTGCAATTGAGCTCAAAATTTCTGTTGCTAAGCGAGACAGTTGGTAAGTGAGTTTCGCCCCATTGTACAACCTTCCCTGCCACTGTTGTTAAGTGAATCACTTATTTGTTAAGTGAATCTTGACCACGTGACCATGGGGATGTTGCAACAGTGAGTGAGTGTGTAACAATAATCATTCTAAGTCACTGTTTTCACTGCTGTTGTAGCTTCGAACAACAACCATTCGACTTAAACGAATGGTTGTAAGTCGAGAATTACCCGTATTACCTTCTGATTGGTCAGAAAAGAATGACAGGTAGTCCTCGACTTACGACCTCAAAATTGAGCCCAAAATTTCTGTCGTTAGGCAAGGAGACATTGGTTGAGTAATTTTTGCTCCATTTTACGACCTTTCTTGCCACAGTTGTTAAGTGAAGCACTGCCGTTGTTAAGTTAGTAATACGGTTGTTAAGTGAACCTGGTTTCCCCATTGACTTCGGTGGCTCAGAAGGTTGCAAAAGGGGATCGCATGATGCAAGATCCTCTGATATTGCAACTGTCATAAATATGAGTCAGTCGTCAAGCATCTGAATGGAAATCATGTGACCATGGCTTAATAAATAAATAAATAAACAATGAATAAAGGTTTGGGTGACGTTTGAACCACAAATAACAGAAAGTCCCAAAGGGGCTTTTTTTCCAAAAGGCAACTGGATTTCGTTTTTCCTTGAAGTCATTTCACTTCTCCTCCAAGAAGCTTCTTCGGTTCTTCAGATGAGAAGCGAAACGTCTTCAAGAAAAACCAAAACCCAGCTGCCTTTTTGGAAAAAAAGCACCTTTGGGACCTGGAGGCCTGAGAATCTCCATAGATAAAAGAAGAGAAAGGCTTACAGCTTGGAGATCTGGTAGACAAATTTCGTTCTCACGGGTGAGGTGGGATCAGAAATGTTCTCCCGGGCGTTGAGGGGAATCCTGTAAAAAAGGACATAATTTAAAAAATTGACTGCATATTAGTTTGTTTGTTCTCGTGAAACGCAACAGGAATCTTTATTTGTGTTGTGGTCCGACAGCAGCCTGAGGAGCTGGCAGCGAGTCGGACAGTGAGGAGGCTGGGGAGGAACATGGGCCAGTCCTGGAGTCTGGGGAAGGCCCGGACGAGAGCTCTGCGTCGGAGGCAGAGATGGAGCCAGGGCCATCTGGGAGTTATGCGCGGACTCTGGAGCCCCCAGAGTCGGTACTGGAAATGGTAGAAAAGAAGGCCTCCGAAGCCTGGGGAGGCCATTTTTGCCCTCTCAGAGGCTCGAGGAAAGCCTCTGGAACCCAGGGAGGGCAACCACCACCACCCCCATGATGCAGGAGGCCGACTAGGCCACACCCACCATGGCCACACCTACCCATAAACCAGGCAGAGAACCCCTTGCTAAAATTTTTGAAGCCCATCCCTGGGTATGGGTGAGCTCAGGTTGTCCCCGCTTGCTCCAGAAGGTCTCTTGTCCTTGCGTGCCTCCATTCCTTTTGTCTGATGACGTCCTTCAAAAACGCAAAATGCAGAGGGAAGATAAAGCATCACTTACATGATACGGATGTTCCTCTCCAGGACTTTTTCTTCAGGGTTCTCTTTATCTGGAACAAATCTGGATGTCACCTTTACACACTGGCACTTGTTGTCCACCAGAACTTTCTCGTCATCTTCCTCCTGCCAGTAAGCTGAAAACAAATAAACGAATCGCGTTGGAAACGAAGCAAGGAGAGAAGCAAGCTAGAACTAAGGAGAAATTGCATTAGAACAATGAATTGTTTTTTTTCTCCTCCAGAAGTTGTGGATGCTCCAACAATGGAGGTTTTCAAGAAGAGATTGGACAACCGTTTTGTCTGAAATGGTCTAGGGTCTCCTGCTTGAGCTGGGGGTTGGACTAGAAGACCTCTAAGGTCCCTACCAACTCTGCCATTCTGTTATTCAAATAAAGTGCGTCAATAAGAGTGTAAGAAATGAGAACGTTCTTTAATAATGCCTTTTAATCCGGGGTTTGATTTGAATCGCGTGTGTGTCCAACAGTTATGAGACATCAAAGCTGGCTGAAAGAGAAGTTGGCCTATTAATAATATTGAGAAATGCATCTGAAAAGGGCCGGAAGCTAAATTTAGGATAGGTGCAAAGGGAACCGAAAACTTTCAAGGTGCATTTTCAGACACAAGGCAGGATTTTGCAAGCTCATCTTTCGTTGACAAACGAAGGCTTTGAAATTAGCTGAGTCACCTCTTTTTCTCGACGCTTTGTACAATGCTGGCTGGGTATGTGAATATGGCATCCCCCCCCAGATGAGCCAATCATATATTAATACATCGTCCAAAGCGAAGCCTCGTCGTCTGGAGTTCCAACTTTGATTCCAAATCAAGGTTCTCACATTCTAACGGACCCAAAAGGCGGTACCTGCGTAGACTTAATCAGAGACGTTCTCTAGAACAGGGGGTCTCCAACCTTGGCAACTTTCAGACTTGTGGACTTCAACTCCCAGAATTCAACTTCAACTCCCAGAATTCCTCAGCCAGCAAAGCAAAACTGGCTGAGGAATTCTGGGAGTTGAAGTCCAGAAGTCTGAAAGTTGCCAAGGTTGGAGAACCCTGCTCTAGAACCTTCCTCTGTTGAGGCTTCTGAATGCAGAATGCGTGCAGCCTCCTAAAAACTTGTGGGTCGCCTGTAGTTCTAAAGCTGCATTTGATTTGGGGGGGGTGCTAATTTCATCTTGAGGTTGCCCTAATGTCAAACACCACCCCACCCCCCCGGTTACATGTAGCTCCTTCCCTGGAAGCTGCTATGTGTGTGAGAAAGAAGGGAGGGAGGGAGGGAGGAAGAGAGAAAGAGGGAGGGAGGAGAGAGGAGAGAGAGGGCCAAAAGAAAATAGACTTTATTAAAAGAATGGCTGCCCCACAATCAGGCTTCCTGCCTGATTCAGCCCTATTTATTGTGTGCCCCACAACAGGGAGGGAGGGAGGGAGGGAGATGGGGGAGGAAGGGAAGAAGGGAGGGAGAGAGGAAGAGAGAAAGAGGGAGGGAGGAGAGAGGGAGAGAGAGGGCCAAAAGAAAATAGACTTTAGTAAAAGAATGGCTGACCCACACTCAGGCTTCCTGCCTGATTCAGCCCTATTTAATGTGTGCCCCCCCCAACAGGGAGGGAGGGAGATGGAGGAGGAAGGGGAGAGGGAGGGACAGAGGGAGAGAGAGGGATGGAAGGGAGAAGGGAGGGAGGGAAGGAGGGAGGGAGGGAGGAGGGAGGGAGAGGACTAAAAGAAAATATAATTTATTAAAAGAATGGCTGCCCCACACCTGATTCAGCCCTATTTAATGTGTGCCCCCCAACAGGGAGGGAGGGAGGGAGATGGGGGAGGAAGGGGAGAGGAGGGAGGGAGGAAGAGAGAAAGAGGGAGGGAGGGGGGAGAGGGAGGGACCAAAAGAAAATAGAATTTACTAAAAGAATGGCTGACCCACACTCAGGCTTCCTGCCTGATTCAGCCGTATTTATTGTGTGCCCCCCAACAGGGAGGGAGGGAGGGAGAGAAATGGGGCAGGGAGGAAGAGAGGGAGGAGAGAGAAAGAAAGACAGAGGGAGGGAGGGAGGAAGAGAGGACTAAAAGCAAACAGAATTTATTAAAAGAATGGCTGCCCTACACTCACGCTTCCTGCCCTGCCTGCTCAGCCCTATTTAATGTGTGACCCCCCCCAACAGTTTACTTGAGAGGGAGGGAGGGAGATGGGGAGAGGGGTCAAGACTGACTCGCATGAATGAGGCACAATTGAAAAAAGATGAGCCATCTCCATCGTTGTCCAGATAGGTCAGTCAAAGACTGGACTTTCTTAAAAGTTTTTCCCCCCTCTAAATTGACAAGTCTGGTGTGTGTGTGTGTGTGTGTGTGTGTGTGTGTGTTTTTCATCTTTTCATTTTTTCCCCCCCAAGGCCATTAACATCCGTTGGACTTTCTCCTGGGAGATACCATGATGGGGAAACCTTCAACTTGTTGCGTTGACTGTTACTTAGTCCCTATGATACAAAAAAAAAGATGCTGAGAGTGCAGAGAAGAGCAACAAAGATGATTAGGAGGCTAAACCACACGATGAAAAATTGAGGGAGCTACATATGCCTATCTGGGGAAGCCAGATTCACTTCACAACCGTGTCACTAACTTATCAACTGCAGTGATTCACTTAACAACTGTGGAAAGAAAGGCATCAAATGAGGCAAACAATCACTTAACAAATCTCTCACTTAGCAATGGAAATTTGGGGCTCAATTGTGGTCGTAAGTTGAGGAGTACCTATAATGTGTTCTCTGACTAACTTCACTTTCTTCCAAGTTAACATAAAGGCCAGTGTTAATCTTCTAATCCAATTTTTTAATCCCGAAAGATTAAGGGAGGGATCTGACACCGTTTATATGCAAACCAGGTGCAGAATTGGCGAGTTATAGCTTGCAAACCAGGTGCACAATTGGCGAGTTGTGGCTTGCAAACCACATGCACAACTGGTGATTTATGGCTTGCAAACCAGGTGCATAATTGGTGAGTATTAGCTTGCTTCCTTTCTGCAAACCGCCGACATTAAGTGCTTTGTTCAAAGTCATTCGACATTTTTGACCTTTATTTGATCTGACAAAGCATGGATTTTGCAAGGTATGACCTACAAGCCCGGCGATAATCTATAATACAACATTCATAATAGCTAAGCACGGCAAGTGACTTGCAAATAAACACGTTCTCAGTTATGGAAAAGCAATATCTGCTAATTAACATCCTTTGTTTGAGTTAGCCTTGTTAGACTTATCGGGTTTGCTTGCTTTTCTTCAAGGGTGTTTTGGAAGTCTGCAATATAAACCACCAGAAGATGACAAAATGCTCGGGTTAATGCCTTGTTCAGGAGTGGGAAAACGTCACTTCCAATATTTCAAAAAAGAAGCTCAGCTCACTTCAGATGGATCTAAATCAGGGATGTCCGACCTTGGTGACTTGAAGACGTGTGGACTTCAACTCATAGCATAGCTGGCTGGGGAATTCTGGGAATTGAAGTCCACAAGGCCAAGTTTGGCTAAAGGTAAAGGTAAAGCTTCCCCTTGCACATATGTGCTAGTTGTTCCTGACTCTAGGGGGCAGTGCTCACCTCTGTTTCAAAGCCGAAGAGCCAGCGCTCTCCGAAGACATCTCTGTGGTCATGTGGCCGGCATGACTAAATGCCGAAGGCGCACGGAACACTCTTCCCTTCCCACCAAAGGGTCCCTATTTTTCTACTTGCATTTTTGATGTGTTTTCGCGTTGCTAGGTTGGCAGAAGCTGGAACAAGTAACGGGAGCTCACCCCGTTACGCGGCACTAGGGATTCGAACCGCTGAACTGCCGACCTTTCAATCGACAAGTGTCTTAGCCACTGAGCCACTGCTACCCCTAATCTAAATTAAAATTAAATTTAGATTAGGCTACCCCTAATCTAAATGAAGCAGAAAGGGCTCAAAGGAGTAAAAGAAAGGCAGTGAATTTCACCCCTCAAGTCTTGGGGTTGCAAAACCACCTTTAATCCAGTTTATTTTAATCATTAATCTGATTCTCAACATCTGTGGAGGAATGTCTCCTCGATTCCCTGGAGGGAGGGGCTGCATTCCCGAGTAGCAAAAGAGTTGGTGTGGGAGAAAGAGGATGAAGACTGCTCCTCCTTAATAGTTCCCAGAGTATACGCTTCATAGGAATGTTAGCACGCTTGAATCTGGCAAGATTCTGTCTGTACATGAGGAACAATAAAGAGATCTATTTGAAAAAATCACAACATGTCTTTCTTGGGGTTTGTTTTGAGCCTCCTATTATCCCTTTTATCTGCTCCATGTTTCTGGTTCAGGTCATTAGAAAGCTGGGACGTTAGTACAAGTAGTCCTCAACTTACAACAGTTCATTTAGTGACTGTTCAAAATTAGAACAGCACTGGAAAAAGTGACATGACAATTTTTCACACTTACGACCATTGCAGCGTCCCCGTGGTCACGTGACCAGAATTCACACACTCGTCAACTGACTCATATTTATGATGGTCGCAGCGTCCTGGGGTCACATGAGCCCCTTTTACGACCTTCCGACAAGCAAACTCAATGGGGAAGCCTGATTCATTTAACAACCGTGTTCCTACCTTAACAACTGCAGTGACTCACTTAAAAACTGCGGCAAGAAAGGTCATAAAATGCAGCAAAATTCACTTGTCTTGCTTAGCTGTGTAAATTTTGGGCTCCATTGTGATCATAAGTCAAGGACTTCTTGTAATTTGAGATCCAGTAGAGTTGGAATAGAAGACGGCAATCATTATTTAAAGGACCATCTTTTCCACGTCATATCTACCCTACCCACCAGAGTGGGGAGCCGTGGGATGTTACGGGTGTAACCCTCTTAAGGAGGTCCATCTGCTCGGACCCAGAAGAAGGGCCTTCTCCGCGGTGGCTCCCTCCCTGTGGAACATCATCCCTGCGGAGATAAGATTGGCCTCCACCGTGACGTTCTTTCAAAAGATCTGAAGATATGGTTGTACCAACAGGGCTGGGCACCTCGGAGTGACACAGAGCTCATCAAGTGGTTGTCACCAGACAGATGGGAGGTTACTGGTTTTTGTACAGGGGTTTTTATCTTTGTAAGCTGCCCAAAGTCACCAAAAGTGAGGTTGGCAGCCATATAAATTTAAAAATCAATCAATTCTCTGGTTCTAGAATTTCCATAGTTGGTTTCATAGAATATTGTACACCAGATGTGGTCAGCCTACGCGTAACCTGTGATCTCTCTCCCCTCCCCTCTTTTGAAGCCCTGGCAGCTTCCGAATTTGAATAGCAAATCGCCAGTGTTTTTCATTATGACGTTTTGCCTTTATTTTTATCTCCAGAAATAAGGACAAAACAGGAGATTAAAATTTTTAAAAAGGGAATCATGTTGTC